CGACGGCTCACCTACCAATGAAGATTTTGCTTGGAAATTGTGGATTCCATTGGAGTTAACCAATGGAATTATCGAAAAAGCCCATTGTCTCCCTGTGGCCTCACATGGTGGTTTTCATAAAACCCTAAAAAGAATCAAGGAGTATTTTTATTGGCCCCTTATGAATAAGCAAGTTAGAGATTTCGTCCTTAAATGTCAAGTATGTAAAGAGTCTAAATCAGCCAACATAACGCTACGTCCACCCATGGGCAAAGAAGCCAATGTGGAGAGACCTTTTCAAAGAATTTTTGTAGATTTTTTAGGTCCCTATCCGCGTTCAAAGGCCGGCAACACTTATATTTTCATTGTCCTTGACCATCTTAGCAAGTACGTTCTTCTTAAGGCTATGAATAAAGCCAGTACTAAAAATGTGGTTAAATTCCTCATATCAGAGGTATTTCATAAGTTCGGTACACCCGAAGTACTAATTTCAGATAATGGACAACAATTTGTAGCAAAGGTATTTGAGGACCTTATGACAAACTTTGGTATCTCTCACGTGCGCACAGCAACTCATTCGCCACAAGCTAACTCTTCTGAACGAGTCAACCAAAGCATTTTATCAGCCATACGTTCATACTTAAAGGATAGTCAGACAGAATGGGATAAATATTTGTCAGAGATAGAGTGTTCTTTGAGATCATCGGTTCACTCCGCAATAGGTGTCACTCCATATTTCGCCCTTTTTGGAATGAACATGGTGAATCATGGTAGCGTATTTGCTCTAGCGCGAAAGCTTAAGGTTCTGCAGGATCCGGAGGCCAATGTCCTTCCACAAACAATAAAATTAGAAATAATCAGAGAGAAAATAAGAGAGAATCTCCACCGAGCATACCTAATAAATAAAAAAAAGTACAACGTGCGATCTAGGAATGTGAAATTTATACCGGGGCAGGAGATATATCGTCGTAGCTTTCAGCAAAGTGACTTCAAAAGGAGCTTTAATGCTAAACTAGGACCTAAATTTGTAAAGTGCAGAATTGTTCGACCAATTGGAAATTGTCTTTATGAAATAGAGGATTTGAGAGGGAAATCCTTAGGAGTATTCCACGTGAAAGATTTGAAACAATAAGAAATGGTTTTTCTACCGCATCCCATAATAACAGAAGAAGTCCTCTCACGATCTGAATAACACCAGCAAAAATTTAATGTTTAATAATTATTCACGGAAAAATATTTTCCTTACGAGCTCATAGATTCATTTTCTCCTAAACTATATTTTTGTTATTATAAAGAAATAAAACGATTGTTCACTTACCGGCACAAATCCAAAAATAGATATATCATAAGATTACAGCGGCAAAGTAGAGATTTCTGCATGGTGGTTTTTACTCCTCATAGTTGGGCACAAAATCAGAATTTATTTGCTTTTCCACTTTAAAGTATAATCGCAACGTTGATTCGCCGTTAAATCCACAATCATTAACATTATTTTGTTTTGCTTTTATATTTCTTTTATGTTTTGATTCAAATTAGCCTTTGTTTTGATTTTGCTTCGCATTTGTTTTGATTCATTTCTTTCCTCACTTTCGTTATGTTTTTTTTTTTCCGTTAACCTTTTGTGACTCTACACATGTACTCTTTATTCTCTCTCATAGCTGTATTTCACACTCTTTGATTTTACTACTCTTACACTTTTGCTTTTAAGAAATCATATCACAAGAAAAGTATGGTCGTATGCACAAATATTCCCACTATTACAACAACAGGAATAACGTAGGCTTCTAATTAATGAAAAAAACTTTTCTGATAGGCTTTTTTTTTAACAATGCTCACTTCTTTTTGTTTTTCACTTGCATAGCCAATTAATACGCATATGAAAATATAAATTATTGGACTTTTATTGCATACACAGATTTAGTATTGATGAAAATTATATTAATTCCATTTATACACTTTTCAACATACATAATTTATATCTTTATTATTAATATGAAATTGAATTTCTACATTTTTCCTTAAAATTTATATTCTTAGGCAGCACACATTTATTTTAGTAATTAAACGATTTTCTTAACTTTATTCTCTATTCTTTTAGTTTTAGATTATTTTCTGTTTTTTTTTCAATTACACATCGCTTTGTTTGCACTGAAGATGATCGACGATTTCTAGAATGAAACGGTTATTTCAACCCAGCAACAAACCTATCACATAGTACGCAACTCGTTGTGGTACAGTCGTATGAAAGCACAGCACAGTTATATGACGCCAACTCGATATTACGTTTATAACACTTTTTCACTCGTCGTTTCTTCTTTTACCCGTTACAATTTTATCTTATTAGGAAATTTCAGATTTTGTTTATTTTAGGATTTATTTTTTTTTGTAGCACATTAATATTAGTAAGACACTATTGGTAATCACAAAAAGTTTTTTTAAACAGCAAATTCTTGGTTTTTCTTTTATTCTTAATTGTATATATTTTTTTTGAAACCCCGGTATTCAATTGTATCGCCCGCACTTCAAGAAATTCACTACATATGTATGGTCTGTCTATGATAACGTAGCCAGTTCAGTAGAAATAATGACGCAGGCATATTTCATTGACAAAGAAGAGCTGACAAGATCGACGTCCTATCGAAAATAAAAGCGCTCCATTCAAATGAAGCTTTCTACAAATCATCGAACTTATTTTTCGCACTTTTTCCCTCCCATCCTTTTACAGTGATGTACAAAGGATGGTTGGGTTTGTCATGTGCGTACTCACGCCATCTATACGCCACATACCGAAACTCGTATAATTTTGTCTGTCACACCAAGTGACATATGGTTTGTTTATCCTGTCATTTCAAAAAGGGAAATTTAAAATGTGGAAAACATATTGGAAATAGGGAGCCAATAAGCCATGTAAAATATTCAAAGTTCTTTCTTTTTATTTCTGGAGTTCTTGGCAGCAGGAAGTGGATCGAGCAAAAAGAAAATAGTAAAGTTTTTACCCACGTTAAATACAACCGGTGTAATAATACCCGCATATCACAAAACAAAATTTTAAAAATATTTATTGCCTTTATTGCACGAAAAGAGAAAAAAAAAAACCTCAATAACTTTTGAACAAAAGGAAGTAATCCAGCACCAAACACCTTTGCCAGCATCGATAACGATATTTGGACCACCGATCCCGACTCCTCTGCCCATCGTTGGATACGCTGTTGAGCACCAGGCATTCCGCGGTGCTGAGGTACCTAAAAATAAAAGAATTTAAAACTGATATGGTGTAAAACGAGCTATTGACTTTAACTCATTACTTACCTCCAAACTTATTGATAATTACTTGCGACGGACGGACTGCCCATAAACCTAGAATAAAAGGGTATAGAAAATACGTGGCCTTAAGGGTAAACATTTCCTTTTGTTTTCTTTATTATTCGAATTTTTACTCTCATATCCTCTCCGAATAGATAGAGCTCTCTCTAGGCAGGTAGGACAGGTTATTAACCACCAGGAGTTAGTTGCTCCCATACACAAAAGCTTAATGTTGTCCCTTTGCTTTTACTCCACTTAAAATAGAAGAAAACTTTTTATTCAGGGTTTGAACTATAAAACTAAAATACAACACTCATACTTACGAGATTAACTGACGGATAATAAGCTCCATTGCCAGCAATCACCGCCATAATAGGACCTCTGTTCAGCATCCCTGGAAAAGAAAGAAGAGCAGCCATCTTATATTAAATTTATTAAATAAATACCCAAAAGTGGTACTTACCTAAGTTTCGTTATTATGTACAACGTTCAAAATTATAATACTTACGATTTTCGAATATTTTACACTAGTAAAAACTCTTTGCACTAGTAATAACCTTTTTAACAATGTGAATTTCAAAGTTAAAATTATCCACAATTTTTTTGTATTAAAAATTAAGAACCTTGAATTAAAAATAAAATTATAACGATGGATATGAATTAAAATGTCTTCTCCATAAGGAAATTTAATTGAAGGTTAGGAGGGTGACGTGCTAAAGAAGAGGTAGGTATGGGGGCAATATGAACATGTTTTGATTGCCAAGGTGGAACAAGTGTTCCAGTGGGAGGGAAGAGCTCGGTTTAACACCTGCCGAGTACTTTCATGATTTTTTTTTCCATATAACTGGTTGCTTTTTCTTATTTATGCTGTGGTAAAAGTCAATAATAGTTTACTATTTCTCTCGGGCTCGGAATACCCTTTTTTTTTTAATTTTGATCAGTCTGGCATGATATTTTTTTTTGTTTAACGTATTGCCAACCTAGTCAATGTCGTCAAGAACCACCCCCATCCGGCGAGCACTAGCCGTGCAAAAAGCCATCATGCCAGCAATGACGATGTTTGATAGAAAACAGGAATTATGTGAAATCAACTGGCGGTAGTACGTGACAAATGCTTTTGTACTCTTGTAAACAATATAATGAGCAGTCACTGGCATAATTTTAACAGCTGTCGGACGAGTGGATTAGAAATGATAGCAGTCTGAAGTTGGTTGCCGTTTTTCATCTCACCCTGTAAGTGTTTCAAATATTTAGAAGATTTAGAAGATTTTCCAAAAGAATTTTAGTTCTATATAATTCTTTGGTTCCTCTTCTATTGAGCTTACGATCTCGTCACTTGGGTAAAAAAGTTTTTTGTCATAGGAGTTATTTTAAATAACTTCTGGGGAGAATATGGTGGCTCTTTCCGAAACCTAGGTATTCCCTGCCTTACTCCCTGGTAAACATTACCATCGTTCTCCACTAATAAACAAATGTTGTTTTATAAAAACAACAATAATGGGATTAAGCATGACGATTTTTGCAACAAAATATTTCCTTCAAAAAGCATTTTCTTATGAATACACATTTGCTCCCTCTACATATCAATTACTGTCTCTCAGCAGTTGATTATCGATTCTTGGCAATAACATTTCGATCTTCCAGAACCCTCTAGACAAATCTTAGTTTTTGTTTTGATTTTGGTGTTTATCACGCATTTTCGCACTGGTCCTCGTCCCTCTTTGTTTCATTGTCTTCCTATCAATACTATCGATATTGCCATCGACTGTTTGCCAGCTCTAGTTGTCAGTTTTACACAAAAAAAATCAAAAAATAAACAATAAAAAAAAAGAAGGAAGAAAGAAAGACATGAACGGAGCAATACCCAAGGAAATAAAAAACACTTCTTCAAACAATACAGCAAATGGAAACGGAGTCGCGGCCCTGATGGCACGTAGCAATAATCCAGGCGAACGTATAACATTGCTGGTGGACAATGTTCGTTTCATCATCGAAAAGGATTTGGTGACTGCACACCCCAACACCATGTTGGGCACCATGTTTAGTACAGGCTTTCAATTTGTCCATCCCAACGAAAGAGGTGAATATGAGGTGGCCGATGGCATATCTCATACATTGTTTCGAGCCATACTCGACTACTACAAGACTGGGCTAATAAAGTGTCCTCCTACCATATCTGTGCCGGAGCTGAAGGAGGCGTGTGATTATTTATTGATCCCCTTTGATGCCACCACAGTACGCTGCCAAAATTTGCGTGGTCTTTTACATGAGCTAAGCAACGAGGGAGCACGCCAACAATTTGAGTTATTCTTGGAAGAGTTCATATTACCGGTCATGGTTACGGCCGCACAAAGGGGTGACCGCGAATGTCATGTCGTTGTGTTGTTGGACGATGATGTCGTCGATTGGGACGAAGAGTTTCCCCCTCAGATGGGTGAAGAATACTGCCAGACCATTCACAGTACTACAATGCACCGTTTCTTCAAATACATTGAGAATCGCGATGTTGCCAAGCAGGTTATGAAAGATCGCGGTCTAAAGAAAATACGTTGTGGTATCGAAGGCTATCCCACGCATAAGGAGAAAATACGTCGTCGTCCTGGTGGTCGTGCCGAGGTAATTTACAGTTATGTGCAGAGGCCCTTCATACACATGTCCTGGGAAAAGGAAGAGGCCAAAAGTCGTCATGTCGACTTCCAATGTGTGAAATCGAAATCGGTCACCAATTTAGCTGAAGCTACTGCAGATCCCCCCTTGGAATTGGATGCCAGTGGCAATCCCATACCACCACCTCCGGAAAATGTAGTTGCATTTCGAGCTGATGCCGATGCTGGGATCGATGGTGGCGCGGTGGAAGATGCTGTTGCCGCCGATGGTGGCGAATTGGAAGCTGCTGGTGGTGCTAACGAGGAAAATGCTTAAATCTTGTCGCAGTCGTTGCCCCCCGCCACCCAATGAGCGAAGCACGGTCTAAGGTATACGGAATAATCGAATTATAATCGTATATGTCGGCGTTTTGGATATGAATATATATAAAAATCCTTATTGAAGAAATCACACATTTATGCATAATATAAAATAGATATAAAGATAAACACTTTTTTACATATTTTGTAATACTCAAATCATTTGAATATCTCAAAATCAGTATTTAATAATCACTGTAAGCCGTTTGTATTTTTGTTTGTTCTTTTCTATACCTTGTATTTGGAAATGGATATCTATTTGCTTTTAAAACATTTATTTTACACGAATAACAACAACAATACAAAAATATAGATATATCAAATAAAATTGCGCAACTTTTTTCTAAATAAATGCATCCATTTGGTTGAGATTTATTTGGTGGTGTTTTGGAGTATATGAAATCAAATATTTTAATTAAGCCAGGTCTGCTGGCCGAACTTTGAAAACCCTCCACCATTTGGAACGAATTTAGCAATTCTCAAAAACAATAAAATCCGTTAAAAACTTAAAAATACCAAATGTATCCGTTATATTAGGGTCTATACGACGACATGAACCTGCATAGGTAACTTTGGGTATAAGCCATTACAATATTCAAATGCGAAACTTAAAAAAATCGTTGAATAATGTAGCTAAAATCATTAAAATACCGAATATCGGGAGGTAACGTTATATGGGCGTGACAATTTTCTGTCATAGCCTGTAGAATCCATTTCGGACTTCTAATACCATATTTGAAACAATTCCGGTGAATAATGTTACCGTTATATGGGGGCTATACCAAAACGTTGACATACATGGCCCATTTTCAATACCAAAAGTCCTGCAGACTTAATATACATTTGAGTAAAATTTTATCAATCTACTTTAATTCGTTCGGAAGCTAGAGTAATTTCCACAGACGGACGGACATTGCTAAATCGACATAGAATTTTATGTAATTTTATTTTATCAAGGATATATATACTTTGTGGGGTTTAAAATATATATTTCTAGGTGTTACAACGGAATGACAAACTCAATATACCCTCCATACTATGGTAAAGGGTATAACATCGCACATCGTATCACTTTTAGGCATATTCTTTTTTTTAGAAAAACTTTCTCCGAACTCCAGATATGAAGTACTTAGAAATAATATTCGAAAATTGTAGATCACACTACAGTTACAAATTGTAGGTGGGTTCTTCAAAGACGGTTCTAAATTGTTTTACCACTTAATGTACCTAACCGGTAAAATTGATTTACGAAATGTCGAATATTTCATTGAATATTGAACATGACTGTTCAACTTTGAAATACAGAAAATCTTGATAAAGATCTAGATCCCATATTAGGTTAGGTTAGGTTAAAGGATGTGTGGTTGCGTAAAAAAAAACAACAACCACTCCACTCGGAGACCTATTGGCCCATTGTGATCATCCTAGTCTAGAAAGAAGTGGAAGTGAGGTAAGAAAGATAGTTAGTGTAGAATATAGGATTTAGAAGAATTAGAGAAGCTAGTGGGTTTGCGTCCACGGTGTAATCAACGTGTCGTCCTTAGCCATTTTAGTCTTCTGGCTAATTGAAGAATGACTGCTGGTTCTGTTTCGGAGAGGTATGACAGGTCAGGCAGTAAGTGCTTACCCAGAAGCCTATGTCTTGCTCCGATGAGGGTAGGACAATGACAGAGTAAGTGTTCCACCGTTTCTGTTTCTTCCTCGTCCTGACATAGCCTGCAGTATTCAGTGTCGTCACCCCCCCATTTTGAAGTCATGGCCTTTATGTTGCAATGACCTGTAATTAGGCCCACCACAAGCTTCAAGTCCAACTTCGTCATGGACAAGAGTGACCGTGATCTCCGTTCGGAGTTCACCGGCCAAATCTTTTTGGAGATGATGCATCCCCTTCCAGATAGCCAGTTATGTTGAAATCTTCCAAGATAGTGTTTATGCAAAACTTGAAAGAAGTGGCATAAAGGTGGCTTCACTGAGCTCTCGATCTCTAGATCTACTGACTCAGATCCGCGTCTGGCCAATTCATCGGCAGATTCATTGCCAGATATGTTGCAGTGCCCAGGGACCCAACAGAGCTTGACAGCTGACTTAAACTTTTCCAGGGCATTCTTGCACTCCAGAACAGTCATAGACTTGATTGTGAAAGAATTTAGAGCTTTTAGGGCCGCTTGACTATCGACATATATAGTCACCGGTCCATCCCGTTCGTTAATTCTATTATTCAACAGTTCTATGGCCATTCTGACAGCAAAAATTTCTGCCTGAAAAACGCTGCAATCGCTGTTTAGCCTGAAGGATCTTCGGATACTTAGGCTTTCACAGTAGACTCCAGCACCCGTTCCACTTTCCATCTTTGAACCATCAGTATAGACCGCTATACCGTCGAAAGGTGGAGTGCCACGGGACCAGATATCCCTGTTTGGTATACGGATGTCAAGTAGATCAAAGCTGAGCCTAGGGAGTATATAGTCACTAGCTATAGCCTGATTACTTACGTTTTCCACATACTTAAGAATGACAGAGTGCCCGAAGGGTTGACTCCGCCATTGTCCCAATTCGTTGAGTCGCAGGGCACACCTAGCAGCTAGTTCCTCTACAAATAAGCCTAGAGGCTTTAAGTTGAGTAGGGTGTCTAGAGCGGATTGTGGCGTGCTCCTGACCGCTCCTGTAATTAGTAGCGATGCGACTCTTTGTACTTTGTCAATATTCTTGCTGAAGGTGGTTTTCCGTAGGGAATGCCACCACACAAGTCCGCCATAGGTTAGGATTGGTCGGACGACTGACTCATATATCCATCGGATAATATGGGGTTTAAGCCCCCAACTCTTTCCTATGGAGTTCTTGCAGGAATAAAGTGCAATTAAGCCCTTTTTCGCTCGCTCCTCGATATTCCTTTTCCAGCTTAACTTCTGGTCTAGAATGGTACCGAGATATTTTGCTTCCGAAGAAAGGCTTAGAGTTACACCATCCAGCATTGGGAGAGAGAGGACGGGTATTTTCCGCCTCCTTGTAAAAAGTACGAGCTCAGTTTTAGATGGGTCCCATATTACTGTACCTCCTAATTTTCGATATTTTGAAGTTTTCGAACACAATTTTAAACAAATTCACGAGTAAACATTTTGAGTTCCGAACTGAAAGAATCTCTCCCTGCTTAATTTTATTAAGATTGTTCCACTATTATATATTGACCATATTTAACGGTACTTCAAAATTTTTGATATTTTGAGAATCTCTCTCTCTTTGTGAAGGTTAGTCCACTTTTATATGAGGTATTTATTATTTGGCTTTTTATTCTTCAGTGGATAAAAATTAAAAAAAGTAGGTCTCTATATGGTCCAATGGGTGTAGATCCTCCAAATCATAGATAAATTCAGAGGAAGCATTTCATTGCTCCCATTCATGTTTTTTTTTTTAAATTTTTATATAAGCAACAAATAACAATATTGGGTTTCAAAAATCTGAAGACAAAAGGACTACATATTTTTATGAGAAAGGAATAATAATAAAAAATATATATAATCATTGGATGGCAATTAAGTCTTCCTTTCTGAAATAGACTAGAACCTTATTAATATATTTATAAAAAACATGTAACAGATTTTAAAAAAATCATGGCTATGGCTTATTTGATCATCAATCAAAGTCGATGTTTCAATTTAAAAATGATCACTTTTGATGAAAAAAACTAAATTATTGCACTTGCGAAAAAGTTAAATATTTCACAACTTTGTCACTGCTTAATTAAAAAAACTAAACAACGTATTTAAAATTTTCGATGCTGAAGTAGAAATTTGTGTTATATAATAGATTAAAAACATTTATTCCAAAAGACGATTTTCATTTTTGAATTAAAACGACATCTTACGCTGATCATTCCTTGCAATGAAGTTAACGCCACTTCGACTGAAAATTCGGGATGACAATCTTCTACCAGTAGCGGTACAGGCCTCACATTACTTATGAGACTATTATTTTAGTATTTTGTTTTAGATTATACTCTTCCTTAATAGAGAGAGTTGTACGCCCATATCCAAGGAAGAACTACAAAATGTATGGTATGTTCCAGAACTTCAAGAATGTAAAAGTTCTTACTACGATTGCCAACTTTCCCTTTATGATACGGAAAAAGTAAACCTAGTAGATACTTGCAGGTTCTAAAACAGACTCGAACCGTACTCGTTTGCAGAACTTTTGTTCAATTTAATTTAATTAATTTCAAAGTGATCAGTTCACTTCAGGAATGTCATTGGAAGAACATTTCAATTTCTTAAGTTTAGACAACAAAATTTGATTTCAAGGAAAACTCGGCTTTTTTCGGTATTCAACATCAAAATAGTTCTTTAAGTTTTCGAAAATTTCAGTTGGCGTCTTCAAAAGTTCTTTTTTTTGTTATACAAAGGATTTCGATTACTACTCGTTGTTTGGAAATGAAAACATGTCATTTTCAGAACATACCTACTCTCAGATACTAAGTTTTACAACAATGCAATACGTGTTTCAATTAATGTTCCAGTTCCGTTAATCCTTGTTTTTAGAAAATTAAAATAATCATTTGGCACTTGATATATTTAAATCTTAACAGTATCATCTGTATAAAATCAGTAATAACTCTGATGAACAAACTATTCCATAAAATCAAACAAGTTCTTCTACGATCAATAGGCAAAAAGTAAAGACATTTAATTTTTTTATATCTTTTTATTAGATTTTTTTATAAAAACAATTTTACATCTACATATTACAAAATTACATTCTTTCCAGATGAACTGGAATTTTTCATTTTTTTAGAAATTAATTTCTCGTATAGGTATATGTATGTAGGTATATGGAGTTCTTTTTTTCAATGGATTAATTCCATTGTGTACTAAAAATAACTAACTTAAAAGGTTTACCAATGTGAATGCATATTCAAATACAAAAAAATGAGGTAAGATCTGGTACAAAAAAAAAAAACTTAACACAACTAAATGAATAAAAAAACATGGAAACGCATTATGAACTGAAGAAGAAAAAAAAAACACACATAAAATGATTTGTTTTAATTAAATGGCAGACATCAGGATGCAAGAAAAGGTTATCCGTCTAACCTTGAACTGAAACGTTATTGGTGATCTTTGAGGCATCCGGGTTGTTGGATGTGCCCGACGCAGCGGCCGATGTCGTTGAAGCAGGATCAGGCAAGTCTGTACGTGGTCGTCGAAACAAAATCACATGTGGTTCCGGTGCATGCATCATATAGTGTACCCAGCCAGGACTTTGTTGAACACCCAAATTACGCCACTCAGTCTCTGTCATCAAATGGGATTTGGGTACAAGTTTGGTCAATTCTGCCGGGAGAATAACATGTCTGCAAGAAACAAAAGAATGTATTTCAATGACCCAAATAATATACTATTTTTGCAATGGTGTGCTGTACTCTGTTCGTTTCGGTTTTCTTTGTCTTGCTAGATATTTACCGATATTCATAGACAGCATCGAAATATTTCTCGGAATATTGTATTTGATCGGCTGACATTTTGCGCAAGTAATTCAGAAATTCAAGTAATTAATTTATTGTTTACTGCGGAGTTGTTATTATTTGTTGCTGTTGCTTCATCTGTAGAGGTGACAAACTATCGGTGTTAATATCGATAGTGCCGATACAATATTTAAAAAGTGATATCGATGATAGCTTTTTCGATATTGCTGTGTTGAAGGTAGAATAATTACAAGGCACAAAATGCAACAAGTGTTCTGTTCCAGAGCCTGCAAGAATCTACTATTTTTGATTTTTTCGATATCTTTAAGTTCAAGAACCGATTAATGTTGTTTTGCCTCGAATTACTTCATGAGATCGAAAAAAATTGTAAAGCTCTTAGATTCTTGAAGGTTCTGGAACAAAGCAATTATAGCTAGTCTAACAGGCTGGTTTCTTTTCCTGTAGCAATTGTTCATCAACTTCTCTTTGAGAGAGTAAGCTGTATAGCTCGATAGATGAAATTTGCAAAGCTAGTAGATTCTTGCAAGTCCTGGAACAAAGCAAATATTTCCGCACAGTTTTCGCGGGAAACACAAACAAAGTTGTAAAAGTTGGTCAGCAGCTGCAAAATAGATTGTACTTGAACTTTGAAAAAGAATATGGATGAGATTCGACAAACCAAGAAGAAGTATTGTTGCTGAAATGTTGTCAAACATTCGCATACTCCGAGTATTTAGAGATCAAATGTACTCGTGTTGTCAGGCTTTCTTCTACTGTTAAACACTCTCTTATAATCTCAAAATACGTTACATTCTCAAATTACAGGGTTGCATATCCTAGTACTTAAAATAACTTCTCTATATGAATACAATAAAAGGTATCTGCTACTATTTCAACTTGACAATATCTTGTTCTGAAAGTTGTATATATTGTTCAGCATCATATGTTGACTTTTCTTTCCATTTTTAAATTTCAAACAATTATTTCTGAAAATTCTTAAGTAAATAAAAACCGCGTATTATACGTAAAAATAGATCAGTTGATTAAGGTTTTATATCATTTTGAACTAATCTAAACAAGTACGATTTAGAAAATGAGTCGATATAAAATGGCTATTCTAAATGGGCATTTGACAATTTAAATCAAGGTAGGCGCATCGACACAGCTGCTGGGACAATGAACTGTCAAACCGATTTTAAAATTAAAAATATTGAATGGGAAATTATTAAAATTTACAACAATTGTTGAAAAATACATATCATAACATCCTCCAATTTGCGTCGTATAAGAAAACATAAAAAACTACTTATTTTTGACAAATTAAAATGCGGACTTATCACTGTTCCCAGACGTTGATGCATCTACCTGTATTATTCTACCATCTTAAGGGTGTATCCATGGTACAATGAAGAGAAGGTAGGTCAACTTTGAAAAAATTTCAAGTATAGAGGTCTACCTGTTTGGCTTGTAATGTCAGAAATAGTATCAAAACAATAACAAAATCAAACAACTTGTTGCATTTATTTTGAATAAATAATTGTAAACCGCGAAAACTGAATGAAAGGTCAACACTTATTTTCAAAACTAGGTTCTATATATCTCTACAGGATTATTTCGCTACAAAAACTCTAGATTTTGTCGATGCATACGATGAAATAAACATTTTGAAAACATCCGAATTTGAATGTTTTCTGAACAATTTTTTTGTTATTGAAAAGAAAACACATACATAAACAAATAAAGATGACATATTAAGCCAAGAAAATAAAAAAAAAAAAAATAAAAAAAAATTAAATCATATGGTTTCATAGCCCTACCTTGATATCATTGTACCATGGGTGTATCCATGGTAGAAGAATATAGGTAGACGCATCGAAACAGCTGCTGGAACAATGAACTGTCAAACTAATTTTTAAATTGAAAATGTTGAATAAAAATTATTGAAGTTTGTAAAAATTGTTGAAAAATTCATATTATAACTACAAACTATTTGCGTTGTATAAGAAAACATGTAAAAATATACCTATTTTTGATAAAACATTTAAAAATTTTTAACATATCAATGTTCCCAAGCGTTGATGCATCTACCTGCATTTTTCTACCATGGGTGTTTCTAAACACGCAAGGTCAACCTATCAATACTATTAACGTTGTTGGTGATAGGAGAGAACATGGTTATATGCATGGTACAATGAATTCAAGGTAGGGCAGAACTACCATATGATTTAATTTTTTTATTTTTCTGGCTTAATATGTCAACTACAATTGTTTATGTGTGTGTCTTCTTTTCAATAATAAAAAATTGTTCAGAAAATATTCAAATTCGGGTGTTTTCAAAATGCTTATTGCAACGAATGCATCGACAAAATCTACAGTTTTTGTCGCGAAATAAACCATAAGAGATATATAGAACATGATATTGAAAAGAAATTTTGACCATTCATTCAGTTTTCGCGGTTTTAAATTATTTATTCAAAATTAATGCAACAAGTTGTTTGCTTTTTTATTGTTTTGATAGTAATTCTGACATTACAAGCCAAACAGGTAGACCTCTATACTTGCATTTTTTTCAAAGTTGGCCTACCTTCTCTTCATTGTACAATGGTTATATGTTTCTATGTTTACAATTTTTTCAAATTTATATATTTGACAATATCTCATTGTCAAAATCTATATTCATAAATCCATTGTATACACACAAAATCAGCGATGGGAACTGTTTTTTATGCACTGAAATTTGACGAGGTAAGTTACAGAAATGCAGAGCTAGGAGTAATAATTTGAAATGGTTACTTTTATCTCTGTGTACTATGGGAGAGATATAGAAGAAAGAAAATTTTTACAAACTTGAAAATTTTTTCGTTGGAAATTTTAAATTTCATAATAGATTTGACAGTTGTGCTGATGCGCCTACCGGTATTATTTTATCATGTTTGAATGATAGTGTGAACACAATGCCGACAGTCAAGTAGTAAATTTATAGCGTAAATATTTGAATCTACAAGAATCTACTAGTTTATTCAATTTTTATAACCTCCGCCATAGTATGGAGGGTATATTAAGTTTGTCATTCCGTTTGTAACATATCGAAATATACATTTTAGACCCACAATTCCGAACGAATTGAAGTAGATTGATAAAATTTTATTCAAATATATATTATGTCTGCAGGACTTTTGGTATTGAAACTGGGCCATGTAGGTCCACGTTTTGGTATAGCCCCCATATAACGTTACATCCCGATATTCGGTATTTTTATGATTTTTGCGACATTATTCACCAGAATTGTTTCAAGTTTGGTATTTGATGTTCGTAATGGACGCTACAGCCTAAGGCAAAAAATTGTCTGTGCAGGTCCACGTATTCGTATAGCCCCCTTATAACGGTACCTCCCGATATTCGGTATTTTTATGATTTTAGCGACATTGTTCACCGTATTTGTTTCAAATGTGGTTTTTGAAGTTCGCAATGAATACTACAGCCTAAGACAAAAAATTATATGTGTAGAGCCACGTCTTCGTATAGCCCACTATAACGGTACCTCCCTATATTTTGATTATTATAGCTACATCATTCACCGAAGTTTCGCATTTGAATATTATAATGGCTCAGGATAAAAGTCGTATAGACCCTAACATAACGGCTACATTCGGTATTTTTAAGATTTTAACAGAATTTTTAACGGATTTTATTTTTTTTTAAATTGCCAAATTCGTTCCAATGGTGAAGGGTACTCAAAGTTCGGCCGATTTTATGGCTTGTTTACTTGTTGCTATTACGATTGTTGGCGGTAATTTTAATAGTTTTTTGTATTTATACGAGACACCTATTTTCAGCAATTTTCTTTTTCATCATTGCATTTTATGCAATTTTTAATTATATTTTTTATATATAAACACAAAAGTCAGAGCATTTTTCCCAATTCCATTCCCCTTATCCCACTTTCTTACAAACAAAGAATTGCCGCCAGAAACTTGCCTAATATAAATTCGGACATAAAAAAAATAATAATTAGTAACGTGTACTACATGACCACTTTGTATATCAGCTGACTGCCGCTATAGTAGCAATGAGAGAGAAAATGTCTTATTGGTGTGACATTTTGTCACATGAACATGTCAGTGATATCCTTGTACTGGTGTTTCGCAGTAATGGTAACTTAGTTTTAAAGATGATGGCATAGAAATAAAAGCCGTTATTTATTAACGAACACAATAACGAAAACGAAAATCTCATTAAATTAAGGTGTCAATACATCATCAATAGAGGAATACACGTCACACACACTCATGGCGCAATACACTTGTGTTTACAAATGGGTGCGAGTGTGTGTCTGTGTGGAAATGAAAATCAATTAAATTGTGTGTAAATATTGAAGCTTTCATACACGAACGCTATTAGCAAGTGTCTGTGGCCAAATTTCCAAACAACATTTTCCGTCCAGCACCAGACTGAATACAAAAAAAAAGAAAAGAAAAACAATATACTCAACAGCAGAGAGAATAGAGCAAAAACGAAATCGAAACAAAAACAATCCATAAACAAAGCAAAGTGTTTCCACATTTTTTTGGAATGGAGAAAAGGCCCCCAAAGAAATATAGAAATATATTCAAAGAATATAGTGAGGAAAGCAACAAAGGAAAATGTGGAGAAAGAAGAATAAATTATGAAAACAATAAAAGCAGACGACGCGTAGTTTTACTATTTTTTACTGAGGCACTGGGGCAACATTAAAGTGAAGCAAAAAAAGCAAAAAACGGAAATTCCAAAAACAACAACACCAGCTATTTTTGTACTTTAAAAACGGTAAAATATCTGAGGAAACAAATCCATAGAGTAAAACGGGCTGTTGTCTAGAGAGATGTAGGTGAAAACAAAAATAATGTGCACAAAAAAAGAAGAAAAAACGCAAAATTCTAAAAACGACACACATTTTTCTGTGGAAATTCATAATTGCTTGCGATGTTGGCTATTTAAAATAAATTAATTTTGAATAAAGAAAAGGTGAATTTCTTCTGGATCATTTAACGCAACAACATAGCAGCATTTTGTGACAATCATGTCAAGCACTAGCTCTGACAAAATTATTATGAAATACTATTAACAAAAAAAAAGATGAAAGAATATTGTGAAAAAGTGAAAACAAAGAACATCCAGGCCATGTGAAAAAGAAAAGAAGAAAAATATATTGAAATAAAAGTAGAGAAAATGTCAAAAAAGTAAAAGTAATATATTTTTTAGAGTTTCATAAAATTATTTTTACACCAAACCTTTTAAAGTGCCTAATTTATACCTGGAAGAGTTAAACCAAATATAAACACACACACACATGCACATGGAATTTAATTTTACGTTTACAAAGTGAAAACCAAAATGGAATTGAAATAATTTTCTATGAATAATTTTAAATAAATTTGTTATCCAAAAAAAAAAAAAAAAAGATCTAAAACATTATCAACGGTTTCAATCAATCAACCAACAACGATACTGTCAACCTCTCCCGCTGTCTTTGTGTAGCTAACCTCCCTTCCAAACCCCGCCGCCAGCTTATAGTAATTCCTAAAAATAACAAAAAACATTAACAACATTACATCAAAAAAATTAACGCATTTAATGTCATCACTAAAATTCTAAGGCCACACAAGTTCCCAGACTCATGACCAAATGCTAGGTGGGTCTTGTCGTGGCCATCATTCAAATACCTCATCACCCTAACGGCCTTCTTATTACTGTTAATCATATCCCTAGGGATATTTGTGTGTAACCTGTTTCCTTTATTCTTTCGCACATTCACATTTACTAAATAAAAAAACAAAAAAAAACTAAGTATCGCCAATGGACCCTTAAACGTTCGAGCGAACGACCGACCGACCATACGTCTGACCAAGCAACAAACCATTCGCCGCCAACAGTTTTATCAAGTGCCACTTTGACCAATTACAGAGCCAACAGCAATCAACATCGTTGTTAACATCCGTCACCCCGACACCTTTACACAGTCCATAGACTAGCATTTCGGCATAACCTCGACAATAGCGATAGCAACAGCAGCGGTAACAACAACACGAACAATATATCGGTGACACCAGCCCCCATCGGAGCAGACTAAAACAAAAAATGGAAGCCAGTCTTATGTATGAAATTCTCATGTATCTGAATTCGTTCTACTTCGGTTTGTACGCTGCATTCAAGGTGTGTGTCAGTACCCTGAAATTTATTCTATTAACGTATCCTGAAAATGCCGTAATGAGAGAGGGAATTTTATTGCTAACAATGTGTCTTTTGGAGACGGTGCGTATCATATTGGGCCGTCGTAGTAGTTTAAGTGCTCGTGGTAAGTATTTGTTTGTACATTACGTATGAGTTGATAAATAATATTCTTCCTATGCCTTGCAGGATAGTTGGTTGAATTATATTAGGTTTATCTGGTGATTGAGCACGTTGTATTTTTTTTAGTTGCGGGCGGCAGTAACTTCACATCCGCAAATTTCAAAAGAATCCCTTTCAAACCATAAATGTTTGGATAGCCTAGTACAACTTTGAGGCAGAATTTACTGACAAATCTTAGTGAACTAGGACATAGAGCTAGGTTGCTTGCCAATTCGACACTTCATTATTGCACAAAGATCATTTCCGGCCTCGGAACTTTTGACCTTTCAGCTAGTATACATGTATGCGGTGCCCGGTCAACAGAGCCACTGAAAAATGGATACTACAAAAAAGCCATAAGCCATAAGCTACTCTAAAGGTGAGAATACATAAAATGCTTTTTGAATGGCTTAATCCATCGGCTGGTTTCTTTGTAAAAGAACAATGAAGCGTAGGGTCGAAATTGAAACAAATTAACCTGATACTTCTTTGTTCTTTTACGAAGAAGCCAGCCGATGGATTAAGCCATTCAAAAAGCATTTTATGTATTCTCACCCAGTAAAGTTTAGTCTTAATAGGGAATTTGGCGGTTGTTCAATGTCTAATTTAAAGATTTTTGAATACAAGTAAGGAATAATGAGCAAGGCTATAGTAAGATGTGAAATAATGAAATATCCAATACCAATATAATTTGAGACGATTTTGCTACAGATATAAAAAGTTTGATTGTATGAACGAATACTTTTAGATATTTAGATAAAAGCTGTACACTTTCGCAATTCATTTCAAATCTCCAAGTCCGTATCTGAATTATCGATAGGCTGTTAAGGATTATAATTAATGTAAAGATGAGAATACATAATCGCTTTTTTGAATAAGTTAAGTCATCGACTGGCTTCTACAAAAAGAACAAGGGAGCATAAGCCAAAATCGAACTAAGTCAACCTAAAACTCCTCTACGAAGAAGCCAGCCAATGACATAAGCCAGTCAAAAACGCGTTTTATGCATTGATACTTTAACGATTTTCAACTTTACGGCGAGAATATATAAAACGCTTTTATATCAACGGTTGTATTCTTCGTAAAAGAACAAAGAAGCTTTAGGTTGAATTAGTTCAATTTCGGTCCATAATTTATACTTGTTAGCCCTACGCTCTTTTATTAAAGTGAAAGTACATAAAAGGTTTTTTTTTTGACGGGATTAAGTCATCGGCTGGCTTCTTCGTAGAGGAACAAAGGAGTTTTGGGTTGACTTAGTTCGATTTCGGCCCTGGGCTCCTTTTGTTCATTTCCAAAGAAGAATGCCGAGGACTTAAGTCAGTCAGAAAAGCGCTTTATGTATTCTCACCTTTAAGGTTCGGATAATTCTAACAAATATAATTCAAAGACCGTGAAATTACCACTATATTTAGAGAAAAAAGTTTCTTTGGATCTCTAACATTGACAGGCAGAACATTTATCTTGGTTTTCGAAAACTTAGAGTTTGTCATATCAAAAATAGGAAAAATCATGGTACAATTAAAAGGTAAGGTAGAGCTATCAGCTGATTACAATTTTTTTCTAAGTGTGCCCGACTTCTGTCAATTTTGTGTATGTATTAATTGTTTTGAAAAATGAAAAAAAAATATTTTCACAACCAATGATTGGAAGACACATGAATTGCGGCTCGCGTATTAAAGCTATTAACCAGTATAGCCATGAAATTGAAAGATTATAGTTAGGATCATATTTTTGCGAGAAAAATCCAGACATTTTATTCATTTTTCGCGCTATTTAACTTATTGTAAAATTAATAAAAAATATGAAAAAAATGAAAACAATAATTTTGAATGAGTCTGACAGGAAGCGGGCATATCCTCCGGGCTGAATTTTTGTAGTTTTACGAAGCTGTTCTACCTCCTTATTGTACCATGGGAAAATATTTTATTTACAGTCCTTTTCATAACCTATATATTTTGCGATCACCTTCAAAAACTATAGGCTTCTATTCTTATGTTAAATCTGTGCAAATATTCTTGATTGGTGAATTGGCGAACCTTGAAATTCGAACTTGTCCTTTTTCCCACGAGAAGAATTTACCCCGATTCTATACGAAACCATGCTAAACATACCCCTTGGGAAACATTGTAATTATACCCTCCACCACATTACCTTTGCAACAATTCTAAATATCCATCGGATATCACGAAAGCGCTTGCACCATTTTGCACATCCATTGACATACACCCAGGATGTTTGATTTTAAAAATTGAATTGATCGTTCTAGGCTAAGGTATAGTCCCCATGGAACAGATTTTGGAAGGCTTTGGTAACAAATTCCAATCAAATCAGCTGTTATTGGATATTTTCTGTTCTTAGTTGGCACTTTAAATTATCTCGAAAATTAGTCAATATTAATATAGCCCCCATACAACATAACCTCCAATATGCCGTTCAATCCGCGTATGAACATTTTTCTATAACATATTTCATGTTACGTATACGCTATAAAGTACGCTCAGTGAGAAACAGTTACAAGTAAAAAAATAGTTAAGAACTTTTAAACCGGTATCTGCGAAACGGTTCATATTTGCTATCTCTTCGAAAAAAAATATTAGCACATCATATGCAATTCAACAACATCCAAATATATATCTGTTACGGTAAGTAATGCTAGTGTCCAAGCCCTATATAGGTCGGCCAAGAAAACTACTCTTGACAACTATTTGACAATAAGCTAAGCAGTTTTAGCGCTATTGTGATTTGAGTCTCTTTGAATTTTAAATCATAATATATGTTTTGACAGAAACTTAGTGTCAAATGCCAAATGCTACTAAATTTTGGGGGAGCCTGGAAATTTGAAATATTGGTGTGGGTGTCATTACTGGTGGGTAGAGTTAATACGAAAAGAGTTTTATGAAAAGTACTAAATGAGGCTACATTAGGAAATTTGGCACTAGGGTCACTGTTATTATGTAGTTTTATAGTTTGATACAATTAGGAGGTAGAACAGCTTCGTAAAACTATAGGAATACATCCCTTAGGCTGTGGCCACTTTCTGTCAGATTTATTCATAGTTAGAAGCAACAAGTTTTTTTTTATTTGTTATTTTCCTCATTTTTAAAATGAGTTAAGTAGCCCGAAAAATAAATAAAACGTCTGGATTTTCTTTGAAAAATATGATCCAAACTTCCAATATTTCAATTCCATGGAAAAACTTGTTAATGTCTTTAATGTGCGCCCTGCAATGAATATTTCTTCCAATCATCAATTAAAAAAAATTGTAATCAACTGGAATTTCTGATCAAGAATATAATGCATCTAGGTTCGAATATTTGTGGGTTTTATAAACTGAATAGAAAAACAAGTTAAAAAGTATCAGTCGGTTTTGCCGACAGCCAATATTTTATTAGTTAAATATATTTTGACTTCTGTTATGATTATTCAAATTACTGACCCTCTCTGGAGTAGATTCCGAAAGAATGGGCCAATATTGTCCATTTCGTATCGGATCAAAATAAATATGATATAAATATTGCGAGGTGCCAGGTTTGGAATATATCGTCTACTTCCTTCACTTTGTATGAGATATATTCCATGCATGAAATAAGTCCATGTTCATACCTCATCTAATACAAATAAAACAAGTAAGCAAAGGCTATAGTCGTGTGGGGCCGACTATGTTATACCCTACAACACTACAATATGTTAGAAGCCCCCTTATGTCCAAATCCATTTTGCAAGATTTCGCTTTTGAAATTAGGATTTTGACTAGGGACAATTGCCCAATATTTATGCACTCCATCGGGCTGTTAGTTGTTGTAGTCCATTTTACAGCTAAATATAATCCAATGGTCATCCAAAATGCCAGAATTCTTCCCTGTCCTTAACTCTCTTCACAGGCGTTGTTCCCGCTGTCCTAAACTCTAACTCTATGCGAGATTTCGTGTTCTTTGGTTTATATTTGTGACCTTTATAACGGCTGCAAAATCAGGAACGTTTTTGTTTTGTTGTTTTGTTGGTCCATTTCAAAACCTAATATATTGCGGACATCTTTGAAAACAATAGGCCTAGCCCTTCTGAACTCAACAATACCCTTGTGAAAATTTTCGTGAGGATCGGATGATATTTGCAATAATTATATAATATCCCCAACCTGTGTTGTAAAGTGAAAAAATATTACAAAATATTATAAGTCAAATTGAAAAAATCGCATGCGATAAAAAATATGAAAAATTAAAAAAATGTCACAAAATACTACAAAATCTATATTAACGTCATTATTGATACCTTTTTATGCGATTTTCTTAGATTTTATTCCTTTATGTCAAGAGGGCATTCTGAATTGACAAAATTTGTCAAAATAGGTCCAGCCATTCTTGAGATATAAGCATTCTAACTAACATCCCCTTCCTTTGTATATACACATTGCATATATTACGCTATATATATCCGATATATTTACCATCGGCATCTACGTAACGATCAGAATTGACCACTTCATCTATTGTGATTTCGCCGGGATTACAAATATTCGCGGTTTAATGAAAAATTTGACTTTTATTTAACACAAATGTTGTGGTCTATTTCACCCACTAAATATTACCTGATGACCATCAAAATTGGAAGGCTTCTGCCCAGCCCTAAGCTCTAGCCCCATGCTAACTTCCGCGTCGATTGGGCTATAATTGCGACCTGTAGAACAACTGCAAAATCAGGAATTTTTTCAGTTTTTTGTCCATTTCGAGCCCTAAATATTATGTGATCATCTCCAAAAGAAATAGGGTTCTATTCTGACCCTAGCCCCACCTCCATTCTAAATTTCGTGGAGATCGGGCCATAATTGCGACCTGTAGAGTGATTACAAATTAACATGGACAGACGGACGGACGGACATACATAGCTAGATCGACTCAGCTCGGCGAGATAGGAAGATCCATATATACTTTCCTATGTGGGAAACCAATATTTCGTTACATAATTTTTGGCCCAATCAAACTTATAATACCCCCAACACATAGTGTTGTAGGGTATAAATATTGGAATGGGCAATATTACAAGAAAATAGGACAATTTTATTCACTTTTATACTAAATCATAAAGCATTTTGTAATGAATCGCTGACTCGTTTCACAAGTTATGACAGACAAAAGTATTGAAAATTGTGCCCATTTGTGGGTGAGGTACCAGAAGCGGTTGGCAGATATATATCATCTTCACAACAGATCTTGTGTTAGCACAAATGTATGTGTGAAATTTGAATAGAGTTGGATGCTTATTTCACTTTCTTTCAGTGTTTTGTTTTTTTAACATCTTGAACCCTACGTGGGGGAGGTACCAGAAGAAATGAGCCGATCTCTATCATCTTTATAACAGATCTTGTGCTGATGGAAATATATATACTGTACCAAGTCTGAGTGGAATCGGATCTTAATTTCGCGTTTTATGAGCTTCATGTATATTCAAAATTTTGACCCTTTGTCGGGGATGTACCAGAAGGAATGATCCGATTTCTACCATCTTTATAATGGATCGTGTGTTGATAGAAATATTGAGATGTGCCAAGTCTGAATCGAAGCTGTTAATTTCGCGTTTTATGAGCTTCATAATTATTCAAAATTTTGACCCTTTGTTTGGGAGGTAGCAGAAGTTGTGGACCGATATATCGCCTCTTCACAACCGATCTTGTGTTCGTAGAAATAATGAGATGTGTGAAATATGAAGAGAACTGGTTGCTCATTTCGGATTTTATGATCTTTTTTGGTTATTCAAAATATTGACCCTTTATGGGGGAGGTACCAGAAGGAATGATCCGATCTCTACCATCTTTACAACAGATCTTGAGTTGATAGAAATATTGAGATGAGCAAAGTCAAAAATATTGTAATTTAATTTGAAGACAATCACACTCTTCTGTCACATTTTATAGGAGTTATAATTATTTAAAATGTTGACCCTTTTTGGAGGAGGTACTTGATGGAATGGACCGATATTGTCCATTTTCGCACCTGACCTAGCTCTGAAACGGATTTGATCCAGAGAGACCTAGGGTCTAAAACCGTTATTTCGATGCGGCACTTTTTGGCCTGAGCCATATGTCAACTCCTTCTAATACTTCACCAACGAAGGGTCAACATTTTGAATAATCAAAACAATAATAGAATGCGAATTGACCATCCGATTCTTTAAAATTTCACATTTCTCAAAATTTCAACTGACACAAGATCATATTAATTAACCATTATTCGCATAAAATTGGAAATAAATGTTTAATTTTCTTAAAATTTCCACATCCAAATATTTTTATAAGTATTAGATGAAGTCGAATAATTCTGTCCAGCAACTCATTCACATTTCAATATTTTCTAAAATAATCACATATTTCTTTCTTGACCCAATGGTGTAGGGTAAAAAAAAATTCGGCCCGCCGAACTTAACTATGTTATTCTCTTTTTCTATGAAAAACCTTTTGATGCGACTTAGAAACATATGTTAATTAATCCTTGTCTTCAGATTCCTTAAATCCTTTTCTCTTTTGGTTCTAACTTCTTTTAAAACAATTCACTATTTTTTCTCCTCTTCGATTTCATTACAGCATGGCAGGCGATAGCATCTGTAGTATTAACACTGCCCAGTCTCGTTCTTGTTATTTATTTATGTTTTTTCCAAACGGCTGTTCTCAAACTTGAAGTAATCATGAGTGCCTTAATGATAGCTCTACACGTAGCTGAAATTGTGTACGCCAGCATGTTCATTTGTACGATGTGTCGGCCGGTGACATATACCTAGCAGTTGATGGGTGTCCCGATGACGACGACGACGACGGCGGCGGCAGTATGTGGACCGTGCCGAAAATCCAATAATCCGAGCAATGCATTTTACATTACCCTAACCATAACTGTGCCGTCATCATCGCCATCATCATTATCCTCGTCAGCAGCAACAACAACCACAACGTCATATATGTATTTGTTCTTCCTGAAAACGACATCATCGTCATTAACCTGGACAATGTGTGGAGAAAGTCCATGTCTTGATTGTATAGAACAGCAGCATACATTTTGTAATATAGTCAACAATAGAACACACAACTACAACAGTAACACCAACAACAACAACAACACCAACACTAGTAACATATGCCAATATTTTGTACCAAACAATTACCAAGTTTTCCAAACCAACTGCAGCAGAAACACCATTAGCTACACAACAATGAATGAACGGAGCAAAAGTTGAAGAGTTGTGGTGCTGGAAATTCTTTTCATTTAAATGCCATTGTAGGATATGTTGCCGAATACTGTGCGGAGCAGATATATTTGGGATATTTAAGGTAAGTTGTACATTTATAGTACATATCAATACGCATATGTCACTGAACTTTGAAATTCTGACCATTTAGGGAATTTTTCTAAGATTTGAACTTTGTACCTCTTTCCACGACTTTTACGACATATTGTTTACGACACGACCCGACAACGTTTAGCAAAAGACTGATGTCCGAGTTCGAACATTGCCCAAGTTCCGTTTAATGCGTTTCAAGATGCAATGTTATGAGCGAAGCGAATGGCTGAATAAGAATGCTAATTTACATCTTTTGCTACTTAAGTATAGTATTTTTTTTTATTTACACCCAAGTAGATCTACACACAGACACCATGTATGTATGTATGTATGTATGTGCGACTGAATGTTTTGGGACTGCAATGCATTTTTAAAAATAGCATTTCTTAAATTAACATATCTCTAGTATTGTGCAGAGGCCAAACAAGAAAGCGCGCAAAAATCTCTTCTGTCTGAAGGTAGGCCAAAAGGTGCTGCGACTGGTGCAGCTGCTTCTGCTTCTGATGCTGCTGGCACTGCATATGCAGATGCACTTTTAATTAAAAACGAAAATGCCGACAGCAGCGGGTGGCAATGCATCATTTGAGAAATAATAAAGACGAATTGTTAAGTCTCTACTTGAACATCAATATGATTTTAGAACTTAAATAGAAAATAAAAAAAAAAAACTTTTAGGGAGAAACATTTTTTATACCCTACAACACTAAGTGTCGGAGGTATTATAAGTTTGATTGGGCCAAAAATTATGCAACACCTCGAAATATTGGTTTCCCACAAAAGAAAGTATATATGGATCTTTCTATCTCGCCGAGCTGAGTCGATCTAGCATGTATGTCCGTCCGTCCGTTTGTCCATGTTAATTTGAAATCACTCTACAGGTCGCAATTATGGCCCGATCTTCACGAAATTCAGAATGGAGGTGGGGCTAGAGACAGAATAGAACCCTTTTTCTTTTGGAGATGATCGCATAATATTTATTTCTACAGGACGCAATTATAGACCAATCGAGGCGGAAGTTAGCATGGGGCTAGAGCTTAGGGCTGGGCAGAAGCCTTCCAATTTTGATGGTCATCGGATAATATTTAGTGGATGAAATAGACCATAGCACTTGTGTTAAATAAAAGTCAAAATTTTCATTAAACCGCGAATATTTTCAATCCCGGCGAAATCATAAACAGACGAACAGGTCAATCCTGACCGTTAAATATATCGGATATATATAGCGAAATATATACAATGTTTATATACAAAGGAAAGGGATGTTAGCTAGAATGCTTATAACTTTAGAATGGCTGGACCGATTTTGTTAAATTTTGTCAATTCAGAATGCCCTATTGGCATAAAAGAACAAAATCTAAAAAAATCGCACAAAAAGATGCCAATAACGACGTTAACATAGATTTTGTAGTATTTTGTGACATTCTTTTAATTTTTTCATATTTTTTATCGCATGTGATTTTTTCAATTTGACTTATAATATTGAGATATACATTTTGTAATATTTTTTCACCTTACAACACAGGTATGGGGTTATTATATATACAGTCTGCAATTATCGTCCGATCCTCACGAAAATGTTCACAAGGGTAGCTTTAGGCTCAGAAAGGCTAGGCCTATTGTTTTCAAAGATGTCCGCAATATATTTAGGGTTTGAAATCGACCAACAACTAAAGAAGTTCCTGATTTTGCAGCCGTTATAAAGGCCACAAATAGAAACCAAATGACACGAAATCTCGTATGAAGTTAGAGATTGGGACATCGGTAGAGATAGGGGCCCTTGCTTTTGGAGGGGGTTCAACTGACCCAAAAACAGAAAAAATTTCATGATCACAGAATTGGAGAAAATCGGCACGTCTGAGAATAGAGTTAAGGGCAGGGAAGAGTTATATCATTTTTGATGACCATTGGATTATATTTAGCTGTAAAATGTCCTGGTCCCTGGTCAAAATGCTAAGGGTAATATCTGGGCAGTGCTCCATGAAATAATTTCAAAAGCGAAATCTTCCAAAAGGGATTTGGACATAGGGGGGCTTCTGACATATAGTAGTGCTGAAGGGTATCACATGGTCGGCCCCACACGACTATAGACTTTGCTTACTTGTTGTTTTTTTTTTTGAAATATTAAATATTTATGCACCAAGACTTTTACTTACTTTCCCTGCATTTTCGATTTTCTCAACAGAAAATACGGTAGAAAACGTCAGAAAAAAACAAGTTAAAAAGTTTAAATCGGGTTTCCGAGAGATGTATACCCTCAGCCAATGTTCGGTCGTTGAATTATTGACGCTCTATGGAGTTGGTTCCAAAGGAATGGATCAATATTGTCCATTTCGTATCGGACCTATATAAATATGATATAAATATTGCGACGTGCCAGGTTTGGACTATATTGGTTACCTCCTTACTGAGATTTGGGATAATTTTTGTTGGTACGGGCAAAATTACAGGAAAATCAAACACTTATATCCAATTGTATACGAAATTATAAATTCCATATTCATCTCAGGTCTCTGGTTGTAAACAAGTAAAAAAGCTGCTAAATTCGGTCGGACCAAACTTTAAATACTCTCCACCGTTTGGAAGGAACTTGAAATTTTCAAAAAAATTCTGGAAACTACCTTTTAAATGAAAACTGTTATTTGGAGACTATACGAACACTTAGAACTGCTTACGACCTTTTTTGGTCATAGGCTGTAGTACCCATTACGAACTTCAAATAGGAAATTTGAAATAATTTCGGTAAATAATATCGCTAAAATCATCAACCTACGAAGAATAAATGGGCTACACGAAGACATACGATTTTTTTTTTTCATGGATTGTAGTAACCATTAAGATTTCTCAATACGAAATTTGAAACGATTCCGGTGAATAATTTTGCTGAAATCATCAAAATACCGAATATCGGGAGCTACCGTTATATGGGGGCAATACGAAGACGTGAACCTGCATACGATTTTTTTTCCATAGGTTGTAGTAACCATTAAGATCTCCTAATACGAAGTTTGCAATAATTCCGGTAAATAATGTCGCTGAAATCATGAAAATACCGAATATCAGAAGATATAAAGGGGCTAACAAAGACGTGGACCAGCATACAAAAATTGTTATCATCGGCTGTAGCAGATAGTAGAGATAATACTGTCGCTAAAATCATAAAAATATGTGGGGGGGGGGGGTTATACGAAAAAGTGGGCCGAATGGGCCCATTTACGAACTTAACTTGGTATACTTGTTTCGCAAGTTATGAGTTATATTAAGATGTACCGAGTCTGAATAGAGTCAGATGGTAATATCGCGTATTATGAGCTTCATGGATATTCAAAGTTTTGACCCATGGTGGGGAAGGTACCAGAAGGAATGGACCGATATATACCGTCTTCACAACAGAATTTGAGTTAATATAAATAATTGGAGGTGTGAAATATGAAGAGAACCGGATGCTTATTTCAGATAATATAATCGTTTTGATTATTCAAATTTTTTACCTGTTGTGGTGGAGGTACCAGAAGGAATGGTCCGATCTCTGTCATTTTTATAACATTTGATAGAAATATTGAGATGTGGCAAGTCTGAATAGAATATGATGTTAATTTCGCGTTTTATGAGCTTCATGGATGTTTTGACCCTTTGTGGGGGAGGTACCAGAAGGAGTGGACCGATATATTTAATTTTCATGGGTTAGTATGAAAATTTCGTTGTATTTAATTTGAAGACAATTGGACTCTTACATAACATTTTATAAGAGTTTTAATTAATCAAAATGTTGACGCTTGACGCTGGGGAAGGTACTTGATGGAGTCAACCGATATTGTCCACTTTCACACCTGACGTAGTACTGATGGAAATATTAGGATTTGCAAAGTTGAAGAAAAATCGGAGTATCCGTTCCCTTTCTGTGCAATAAAATATTTTTTAACATTTCGACCTTTTTGGGGGAGGTACCAGAAGGAGTGGGCCAATATTACCCATCTCCGAACTCAATCTAAGTTAAATAATAATAATAGAAGGCTAAAAAGCAGGATAATCTATTCGAGTTTGGGAGAGAGTTCCATTAGGACACCGTAGGGGGAGTTCGTATATGCTGATGAAGTGGTAGGTTTTTTTTTAATATTTCTGACTTGTTCCCTTGACAATGGTCAGGGAGTAAACCCTACAAAGACAACATGTAAATTTTCGCCGCATTTAGCATTTCTGGATGAAGTTGCAATTTTTGTTTTTGTTCGTGCGCTAAATACATCGGTTCGTTCTTTGATCAGTGATTAAACTGGAGCAAAAACATCGATGGGAATACTAAAAAGGGCCTCATTGCTCTCTATTAATGAAGAACGCCAGAACTGGGGGCAGTAAACGACAAGTCGTACACTGGATGTTTGTAAATCCAAGGCATCAATGTCCAAATTAACGACAGTGCAGAGATCCGCGTTCTTATTGATAACCGGAGCTCTAGAGATCACTTCCCAATCTACCTTGGATGTGCTCCAAAACTTAAACTTAAGAGGTAGAGATGATTGAACCCCTACTATGCAGATGTCCCAATTGGCAGGTGGGAGATAGAAACTCAAACGGGTCGATATATGGCTTATGGATCACAAAAAGGAAATATAGGATAAAATCATGTCCTTTGTCCTCAAGGACGTAATACTCTGTTCGACAATGTGTCGTAGGATATAAAATCCTAAAAGTCCACATTTATATTAGGCTAGTTTACTTGTAGCAACTCTCTGTTTTTTTGGAGAAAGAGGTAAGGGGAAAGATAATGGAACTGGCAAAGGCCTAGATAACGTCGGCCAAGAAGACTACTTTTTACAACGATTTGATAATAAACTTAGTAGTTTTTGCACAATTGTGATTTAATCACGAATCACAATAAGCCTTTTGACAGCGAACTTAGTTGTCAGATGGACTTACTGGCCGACCTTAGGCCACGGTCAGAAAAGGCCAGAAAAGGCAATTCTGTAAGTGGGGCTCGTCGCAATAACCATACAAGTTCTTTTTAACCTCATTTGAAATTTTCTATTAGGATTATGAATCTTATTTATTAAAACCCGATAGTCTAACCAATTATCTTTTAAATCGTATTTGCCAATTATAGGAGCATTGCATCGGTTATAATTACTCGCCGTAGTTGTTAATGAGCGATAATTAAATTTATATTTAATTTGAAATGTAACGGCATCATTTCTTTTGTTTAGCATTGTTTTGTTTTTTGTTGTTGTTGTTTTTGTTTCGGTGGCACTGCATCCACGTTGTATTCTTGTCTGCTAAAATATTGTGACGCCATTCACAGTTCATAAATTAGAATTTTTTATGATGATTGTCTGGATTTGAAATTCGTGTAAATCATAAGTTTACGACTACGATTTGACGATGTTGGGGAAATAAAGAAACTAAACACAAAACAATAGGCCTGCTTGCGACTCAGTGGTGGGTTCTTTTGTAAAGTATTTGGGATGCATTGTAGAACTTTAAAATTTGCTAATCTATTTTAGAGAATTATTGCTGTTGTACCATGTGACGTATGAGTTATGTCGCCACTTATACGTTGCACCATAATTTATGTTAAATTAACATACAGTAGTTTCTTGCTTCATGTAGACAGCCAACGATCACACGTTCAAGAGGGCTATTGTAAGTACAAAGTGTGTTGTAGGGGAATTGCCAAATTGAAGTCAATTAAAGGGTATATCGGTTCTAATACACTATATGTTTTTGAACCATTTTATACACATGTTCGCTGATCCGTATAAATCAATGTAGGGTTGACATCCTTCAATTTCAGTGGCAGACTGAGAATTACATTTCAAATTATTGACAAATATAACTATGCTCTCTCGTTTATTTACGACATTGCAAGTACCTGGTGCTTCGTTAGCAAGAGTGTCCTAAAAAATACATACAAAGTCCAATTTTACCCTTTTTGTCAAAAAATATTCATTAAAATTCTCTGTTACAGAACATTCAAGAATGTAACCAAATTTTCCTTTAAAAATCGAAAAGATTGCTAAATTTTGCAAGTTCTGGAACATAGCGATTAGAATTAAAGGGAAAACATTTTTAAAACGTCTGTCATGCTTAAGTTTTCCAAAGAGTTAAGACATATTTCGTACTTTTTTCGTACCAAAAAGTACACTTTCAAATTTATATCATGATTAGAGAATCCCATAAGCTAAATTTCACTGATATTGTATTTATTGATCGCTCAACAAAAAAGCTGCATTAATTTATGCCTTTTAGTGCTTTTCGAAGCCATAAAGTACGAACTTAAAAAATTCTTCCTTATATCTCCCTACTACTCCAAATGCGATTTCGCGTGAAGTTTCAATAAACGCACCGTACAATTGTGTACCTTTTAGCAATGTTCGGTCCTTTAATGTAGACATATCCTAAAGTTTAGCTTTATATAACCAAAAGTTCAACCAGATCCTAAATTCAAAATTGCCGGCTAAGTTACCCTTTCAGATGAAAAATGATTCGTATGCATAATTTCAAAGTTATGGCTTTTTCGAAATTCTCAATAAAAATGTCATACAATTGCCAACCTTTGGTACTCTTTAAGTACGAACTTCGAAAATCCCATTTTATCTCTCGCTACTACACCAAGTGGGATCTCATGTAAAATTTCAAAGTCTTAGCTTCTGTTTGTTAATTAATTACTCCGTAATATTTGGTACCTCTTAGTACTCTTTGTACCCTTAAATTTCGAATTTCCAAAAAATCAATCTGATATTACTAAAGACTGAACCAAATACAAAATTTCAATATCCTAAGGGTGGGAATACATAAAGGGCATATTTAGCTGGCTTAAGTTATCAACTGGCTTCTTCGTAGAGGAGCAAAGGAGTTTTAGGTTGACTTAGTTCGATTTTGGTCCTAGGCTCCTTTGTTCATTTCCAAAGAAGCCAGCCGATGACTTAATCCAGCCAAATGAGCGTTTTATGTATTTCCACCTTAACCCTTATGGATTCCCCAACAAAAATATATTTTTGCATTTTGTACCTTTTGAGTACAATTCGTACTTTTGCAGTACAAATCAATACTCCGGCTTCCGTCATTTTAAATAATGGATGAACTTTGTGCACAATTTAGCAGTTCCAGCTCTTGGATATCGCTCAATAATAATATCACATCATTCTGCACCTTTTAGTACTATTCGTATTCTTATCCATTCGTATCCACTAAACCAGTGGGACCCCATGTGAAATTTAAAAGTCACAGCTCCTGCTGAGCGCTAAATAATCACGCCGTACTGCTTTGAACTTTTTTTTGTAATTTTCGTACCTGTACAGAATGAATTTTTAAACATCCACACCAAAGGATGGACGTTTACATAATTTCAAAGTTCTACCTCTTATCGATCCCTCAATAACAATATTGTATCCTTTTGTACCTTTTTGTGCTAATCTTACTTTTGAAGTACAAATTTCCAAATATTCCGGCTTCTTCACGAAGGGTTAATTCTAGTTGGACACTTAGGTGTTTAATTCGCATATGCTTAATCGCAATAAGTTCGAAATAAATACAACTTTCCCGGGAACGGACCTTGTAAGTCATCATCCACACCAAATATGCCTGATGAGACGCTTAGACGTGAGTGTCTATCTGGGATTCCTTTTCACTGCAAAAATCAGATCATTAAGCTCGTCTCGAAAGGGAAATAAGAACATAAATCATAAACATATGATCTTCGCTATAACAAGGCAAAATTCAAAAAATTAATGTCTATTATCCTGGAGCTTCTGGTACATTTCGTACTTTTGAAGTTCAATTTTTTAAAAGTTCGCCCATTTCTCACCACGTGCGAAATTAAAAGTTATTTCTCTTGCAGATACCTCAATAACAACGCGGTACCATTTTGTACCGTTTCGTACTTTTTTCTAATTCAAGTATGATGATTATGTACCTGTTACAACAACTTCTCTTAAAGTACGATCTTCCAGATATCCGTTGTACCTGAACCTTTACGCGATGGTAAATCTTAATGCAAACATTTCACAATTAAAAGTCTTACGAAATGCTGCATTACGATGTTGTAGACAATTGTACCTTCGTATCTCCCCCTTCCACATTAAGGTCGAACTACATGCAAAATTTCAAAGGTATAGATCCTACTGATCGTTCAATATCAAAGTTGTACAGTTTAGTACTTTTTGAACCTTTAAAATAAGAATTTTCAATAAAGGTACTATATTAACTCCGCACGTACAAATTTATAAAAATACTGCTTTCAAAGTTCTATCTTCAGTCCTTTAACTTAACCGGAGCATCACTCAACCTTTGATAGGTTTGTCTGTCAGTGTGTAAACCACCTGACTCTTATAAAAATGTCAATTATGATGGCCTAAGCTACAGTAAAAAGCCGGTAATGGAATTGGGTGTTTTGTCCAAATTATGGTCGATAATAACTATTTTGTGACATTCCATGTGGCATATTATTATATTCAGGTATTTCTGCCTAACATCCTTCATACCCAAGTGGGAATAAGAATCCAATACTCAAATTTAATCCTCTTACAAAAACATCCTCTAAAACGTCTAAAACTCAGCAATGTCCACAGAAAACGATCTAATTTGTCTCTCTCTCTGTTAATAAAATATATCAACACAAAAAGGTTTCCACCCAAATAAACAAACAACAATTGTTGTTGCAATTATTTTAGCCCAACATTATTATGTTGAGCACAATTGAAATAGAATTGAATTTAAGTGCAAAATCGCTCTGCTCTGCAAGCCAAACCGTAACGAGAAAAACATTTCGCTGTTAATCAGTCTAAAAATACAAGTCCGAGCAACAAGTCAACGCCATCCATTTCGTTGAGTGCACCGGGGGCTATTTTTAAATTGAAAAACTAGAAAATGTGAAAAAATACTTATCCGCCGTGAATTATTATTTCTTGCAACGAATTGAAAAACATGTAAACTTATTAAAAACAAAATAATAAATCAATCGATTGATGCCGTTTTGATGTTGGACTGAAAAGAAGAAGAACAAAAGAAACTGCCACAGAATGCCACCGAAGCGACCACCACCTCTGGTGCCGAAGAAACCAAATCCCAGCATGGTCTACGAGGTGCTCATCTATTTGAATTCATTCTATTTCGGGATGTTCGCATTCTGCGAACTGGCCATGAGTCTGCTGAAGGCTATAAATCTAACATATCCTTCGGAAATCTTGATACGTGACATGGTTATTATTGTGGCCTATTGCTTTTTGGAGACGGTACGAGTCGTTTTGGGACGTAAAAGTTCATTGGCCGATAGAGGTAATTATGAAGGGAGAGGGGCAAAAAGTATGGGCATTAAAGTTTTTGAACGAGGCGTTGTTTAAATAGAAAGGGAAGCGGGCAAAACAACCAAAAACATACTAGGATCATCGAGAATATTGTTGCTTAATCTACAATCATAGCTTAGAAAACGCGCGTCTGTGACGTTTACAGTACTTACTCAACCCTTAAAAAATGTATGCCTCTCAAGATAACCAAATGTGTGTTGCGACATTAAACATATAAGGAGGCTGGTCAAGCCGATTAGAAATGTGTCTAATAGAAATAACACATGTTCCGATCAGAAATGTGTCTAATAGAAATAACACATGTTCCGTCGGACGAAATCAGTTATTTGGATGAGTTATAGCAAGGTCTTCTGTCTGTTTGTGTGGCTAGTGATCACCATAGTTCCAAAGGCCTCATCAAAAATTTTTACCAAATATTGAGTTCCATGATAGCTAACAATGGGAAGCTCTTTCACAACGACAAGGGGGAAATTTTTCAAATAAGAACCTTATTCCATTTGAGCTTCGCACAACGCAATATTTCTATCAGACATAGGTAAGGGTCACACCTTCTGGTAACTATTCCACAAGGAGTCAACATTTAACAAGTAAAAAAGCAGTAAGTTTGTCCGGGCCGAACTTTGAATACCCTCCACCATTTCGAACGAATTCCAAAACATAAAAATCGTTAAAAATATATATAAAAATATCAATATAGGCGTCTTTTTACTTTTGTCATAAGCCATTACAATATTCAAATACAAAACTTGAAAAAAATCCGATGACTTTATATCGGGGCTATACGAAGACAGACTTAGGAACTTCAAATACGAAATGTCAAACAATTTCGTTAAATATTTTACCTAAAATCGTAAAATACCGAATATAGGGGAGGATTGATATATGGGGCCTATTAGAATTCTAGATTCGAAATTTGAAACAACTCCGATTAATAATGTCCTAAAATCATCAAAATATCGAAAATATATTGACATTTCTCTTTCGAGGGGTAAAGGGCTAAGAGAGAACTTCTAGTATGGATTTTTGGGCAATTCCATTGAAAAATTTGGCTACAATCATAAAAATACCGAATATCGGGGGTACCGTTGTATGGGGGCTATACGAAAATGTGGACCAATATAGCTCATATTCGGACTTGAGCTGCCTGCAGACAAAAGACTTGTGTGTGCAAAATTTTAGCTTCCTATCTTTATTCATTTTGACTCTAACGTGATTACAATAGACGTACTGATGGACGGACAGGGATAAATTTTTAGTTTTTGGAAATGTGTACTAAAAGGGTACGAGAAGTACTAAAATGTACAAAAAAATATAATACTTTGTATTGGACAAACGGAATGAGCTGGAATTTGGAATGAAAGTCATTGAAAGCCAGCCGATGACTTAAGTCAGTCAAATAAGCGCTTTATGTATTCTCACCTTTAAGCTGGTCAGAAAGCCTTTTATGCATTTTCATCTTTATACTGTCACCATAATTTAAATTCGCTTTAGAATTACAATATATGTCAAACATATATTATTATTAAATTAAGAAATTTTGTTTTCGAAATTTGATTATTAGAATTACGGAGAAAAACTATGGTATTCTAAAAAGGCCGTAGACTTTTTATTTTCACCAAAGAAAGGCTGTGAAAAAATGAAGCCAAATTTCCTAAATACAATTTCCAGCCACATTGAAAGTATGTTCCGACCAGTGTAATTTTTTTCGCCGTAATATTAAATTTGTATAATTAATTTAGGAGGTAGAGTTGTAGTTTTTTAAAATTCACCTTCTGGTCGACATTTTAATTGATCAAAGAAATATGCTTAAGTTGAGAATACATGAAACGCTTTTTTGAATGACGAAAATTCGAACTAAGTCAACCAAAAAGTCCTGTGTTCCTTTACAAATAAGCCAGCCGATCACTTAAGGTGGGAATACATAAAGCGCTTATTTAACTGGTTTAAGTCATCGGATGGCTCCTCTACGAAGAAGCGAGCTGATGACTTAAGCCAGCGAAATATGCGCTTTATGTATTCCCACCCTAAGGGTGTTAATTTCCAAAGAAGCCAGCCGATGACTTAAGCCCGTCAGATAAACACTTTATGTATTCTCACCTTAAGGCCAGTCAGAAAAGTATTTTATGTATTATGGAGGGACATCAGACATTTCACTTATGTCATGTCATTATTAAAAATTCTTTCAAGGAAGACGGTTGGGAATATTGATTCTGTTCCAGGGACCTCACGGTAGTTTATTGACTTTGGCCACAAAAAATCGTTATATAATTTATTGTATATAGAAATATTGGGTTGGTAACACAATTCATAATGGATATTTTTTCCTGGAATCATTATAAAATTAAGAAGGTAAAGTCATTTCAAATAACCATACCCATCTCTGCATTTTCTGTAATTTACCTTGCAAAATTTCACTCCGTAAAAACTAAAGCTGGAAATACATAAAGAGCATATTTGGCTGGCTTAAGTCATCGGCTGGCTTTCTCGGAAATGAACAAAGGAGCCTAGGGCCAAAATCGAACTAAGTCAACCTAAAACTCCTTTGTTCATCTACGAAAAAGCCAGCCGATGACTTAAGCCAGCCAAATATGCTCTTTATGTATTTCCAGCTTAAGTTTCCATCTCTGATTTGCATAGTTACAATGTATTTATAAATATAAATTTTGACAATGAGATGTTTTCAAACGAATAATTTTGAAAAAAAAGTTGTAAACATAAAGGTGAGAATACATAAGACGCTTTTTTGACTGGCATAAGTCATCGGCTGGGTTCTTCGTAGAGGAACAAAGTAGTTTTACGTTGACTTAAGTTGCAAGTACATAAAAAGCTTGAAGTCATGGCTAGGCATATTAATGTCAAATTATAATGCAAAACGACGGCAGGATTTAAGTGCGGCTCTGTAATCCCTTTGTGAAATGTCACAAAATATGCCTAGCCATGACTTCAAACTTCTTATGTACTTACACCATTAGGCTGGAAATACATAAAGAGCATATTTGGCTGGCTTAAGTCATCGGCTGGCTTCTTCGGAAATGAACAAAGGAGCCTAGGCCCAAAATCGAACTAAATCAACCTAAAACTCCTTCGTGACTTAAGCCAACGAAATATGCTCTTTATGTATTTCCAGCCTTAAGCTGGGAATACATAAAGCGCTTATTTGGCTGGCTTAAGTCATCGGCTGGCTTCTTCGGAAATGAACAAAGGAGCCTAGGGCCAAAATCGAACTAGGTCAACCTAAAACTCCTTTGTTCATCTACGAAGAAGCCAGCCGATGACTTAGCCAGCCAAATATGCTCTTTATGTATTTCCAGCCTTAGTTCCTCTATGCTTTTCCGAAGAAGCCAGTCAATGACTTAAGCTAGTCAAAAAGCGTTTTATGTATTCTTCAACTTAAGTTTGCATGACTTTACCTTCTTGATTCTACCATGCCTGGAATATTATAATAAAAAAGTGTGATAATATAAGAAAAACTATTATTTTTATTAAGAAACAGTCTTTAATCAGGTGCATAATTAAATTTGCATAGTTAAAGGTGCATAGCTAAATTTATTTAAACAACATGTAAATTCTGTTTTTTTTCTTTTCTCTCTCACTTCAGGTTTACCAGCAATTATATCGGTTCTTCTGATTGTCCCGTGCCTATTTGGTGTCAACTACATATTACTCTTACAAATGTATAAATTACGTTTGGAATATGTTCTGTGCGTTCTGCAACTGGGTTTATATATCACCGAAATTTGGTATGCCATCTACTTTGTTTTCACACTTTGTCGTCCCATAAATTATGATTAGGACTTTAAAAAACACAATATTTTATAATGTTTTATATAAATAACAAAAAACACAATATTTTAATTGTACAATAAAAGAAATCAAATATATTTATTAACTCTCGAATAAATGCAATGCAATATGAAATCATTAAGAATTTTTAGTAATAAACAAATGTGAACAACAATTTGGAAAATAATAAAAGAAATGAAGTTAAAAGGTTATTTAGTTGTATATTTAAGAGTTGTAAAATTCTTCGTTTAATTTTGATTCAATAAAAAATTGGCCAAGAATTGTGCAAGATGTCTCTAAGTTTGTGTGTAAGGTATCGCTCGATGAAAAAACTTTTTTACTCCAGTCTAAAAAAATTATAATCTTTTTCAGTTTTCCAAACCGGATCAAACAATTCAGGTGGGAATACATAAAGCGCTTATCTAGCAGACTTAAGTCATCGGCTGGCTTCTTTGGAAATAAACAAAGGAGCCTATGGCCAAAATCGAACTAATTCAACCTAAAACTCTTTTGTTCGTCTACGAAGAAGCCAGTCGATGACTTAAGCCAGCTAAATAAAGCTGGGAATACATAAAGCGCTTATTTGACTTATTTATTTGTTTAAGGTGAGAATACATAAAGCGCTTACCTGGCTGACTTGAGTCATCGGCTGGCTTCTTCTCTCTTGTCATTGTCAATTAATATAAATTGTCAGTGAAATATAGCAATATTAAAATCAATGTGAGGAATGTTTTATCCGTGGTCTTAGTTATTGGCATGGTAAAATTAAGAAGGTAAAGTCATTTTAAATAAGCACTTCCATCTCTGCATTTTCTGTAATTCACCTTGTCAAATTTACTGCTTAAAATAGGTTTCCATCTCTGATTTGTGTGTTTAGAATGGATTTAAAAATATATATTTTAACAATGAAATTTTGTCAAATGAATAATTTTGAAAAAAATTGTAAACATATGATTAAATGACTTTACCTTCGTTATTCTACCATGGTTATTGGATCGAAGGCTGGTAAGTTAAAAATATAAGTTGAATGTGCTTTTCCTATGGGAATACATAAAAGGCTTGTTTTCAAATGTATAATTTAGAAACAATTTTAAACATACGACTTCATTGTTTCTTTACTTTCCAAGGTGGAAAAAGTCGTAAAAAAGAAGAGGATAAATACGGACCTCCTTCAAATTGTGCTGCTACTTTGAGCAAGAAACAATTTTTTTTGAAAAAAACAAGTAAAAAACCATTTGAAAGAATTTGGCAATTTTCAAAAAAATAAAATACATTAAAAATTCTGTTAAAAGCTTAAAAATACCGAATGTAGCCGTTATATTAGGGTCTACACGACGACGTGGACCTGCATAGGCGACTTTTGTCATAAGCCATTACAATATTCAAATGCGAAACTTGAAAAAATTGGTGAATAATGTAGCTAAAATCATCAAAATACCGAATATAGGGAGGTACCGTTATATTGCAGCTATACGAAGACGTAGACCTGCACTGACAATTTTCTGTCACAGACTGCAGTATCTATTACCAAAAATACCAAATTGGAAACAATTCCGGTGAATAATGTCGCTAAAATCATCAAAATACCGAATATGGGGGGGTACCATTATGTGGGGGCTATACCAAACCGTGGACCTGCATAACCCATTTTCAATACCAAAAGTCGTTCGGAGGCTGGAGAGATTTCCACAGACGGATAGACGGACGAATATCACTAAATCGACATGGAATTTTAAACTGATCAAAAATTAATATACTTTGTGGGGTCTACAATGCACATTTCGAGGTGTTACAAACGGAATGACAAACTTAATATACCCTCCATACTATGGTGGAAAATTAAAAATTCTTAAGGTGAAAATACATAAAACGCCCTTTTAAATGGCTTAAGTCATCGGCTGGCTTCCATGGTAGAAGAATATAGGTAGACGCATCGACACAGCTGCTGAGACAATGAACTGTCAAACCAATTTTGGAATTGAAAATGATGAATGAAAAATATTTTAAATTTTGTAGAAATTGTTGAAAAACACGAATTATAATAACTTCCGAATGACGCGGTATATGAAAACATATAAAAATCTACTTATATTTAAAAAAACATTGACAATTTTTTGACATATCAATGCTCCCAAGCGTTGAGCATCTACCTGTATTCTTCTGCCGAAGAAGCCAGCCGATGACTTAAGCCAGCCACATAAGCGCTTTATGTATTCCCAGCTTAAGTCATCGGCCAGCCCATGGTAGAAGAATATAGGTAGACGAATCGACACAGCTGCTGGGACAATGAACTGTCAAAACAATTTTGCAATTGAAAATGTTGAGTGAAAATTTATTTACATTTGTAAAAGATGTTGAAAATTCCGAATTATAATATCCTCCGAACGACGTCGTATAAGAAAAGATATAAAAATCAATGTTCCCAAGCGTGATGCATCTACCTGTATTTTTCTACCATGGGCCAGCCAAATAAGAGCTTTATTTATTCCAACCTAAAACTCCTTTGTTCCCATGAAGAAGCAAGCCGATGAATTAAGGTGAGAATGCATAAAGGCGAAAGTACATAAAACGTTTTTTGTGTCTGGCTTAAATCATCGGCTGGCTTTTTCGTAGAGGATCAAAGAAGTTTTAGGTTGACTATTTCGATTTTGGCTTACGCTCCTTTGTTCTTTTCCGAAGAAGCCAGCCGATGACTTAAGCCATTTAAAAACTCGTTTTATGTATTTTCACCTTAAAACGACTGGCTTAAGTCATCGGGTGGATTCTTCGTAAAAGAACAAAGGAGCTTTAGGATGATTTATTTCAATTTCGACCCATAATTTTGACTTATTAACCCTACGCTCCTTTTTTCTTTTTATGTATTCTCACCTTTAAGTCAGTCATAAAAGATTTATATGTGCTCTCTGTACTCTTTATTCGTACAGGATCAGAGCTTAAATATTTGCAACCATGTGTGTTAAAATATCCGATATTCGAAATTTTGAATTTGAATTCTCAATTATGACTAGACCATTAATAAGATAAGTGTATTGAATGTTTTCAGGTTCATACACAGGAGACGATTAAATAGCACAAATCTTGATCCAGCTATCCTTTTATATAAATTTTGGAAGTAACCTCATGAGGGATTAAAATATCTTTTGGCTTGGGATCAAAAACACGTTTAATGTATTCTCACCTTTAAACCAGTCAGAAAAGAAATTATGTACTCTCACCTTTATTCGTACAGAAGCAGAGCTTAAATATTTGCAGTCGAGTTGTGTCGATATCCGATATTCAAAATTTTGAATTTGAATTCTCAATTTTGACTGGAACATTGATAAGGTAAGAGTTTTAAATATTTTCAGGTTCATACGCAGAAGACGATTAAATAGCACAAACCTTTCTCCAGCTATCCCTTTATATAAATTATGGGAGTAACCTCATGAGGGATTAAAATATCTTTTGGCTTGGGATCATTATTTCGAAATTTGCATTGTACACTCATTGGCCTTCCATTCACATAAATATTTACTTTAAATGCAAAAACCAAAAAATTTAACAAAACAAGAAAAAAAACAATGCAAAATCAACAATAGTAATAAGTAAGACAATTTTGAATACATACATATACAAATACAAGAAAAGATGAAACCCCGATTTTTTTAGAATATACCAATTTACATATGTAAGATGACAAAGAAGAAGAACAAGAAACTTTGCATAAATGTTGTTATTTATTACTATTAAGTTAATGACAATTTTAAATTTCGATTGTAATCAAAACAAAGCAAAAACATGTTAAAAACATAAATCTCTACACTCTCTCACACAAAATTTAACACAAACATATTTACTTGGAAAAGTAATTAATATTATTTTGTTATTAATTTGTTCACTAACAAATTAATACGATACAATTTGTGAAAGAAAATAATTATTTCTATGTAAATGTATTTACTTACAACTAATATTTAAGTTAGCATATATTTATTGTACTATATAAGTTTGATGATAAAAATTTGAAATAATAAAAATGAATCTTGAATTACAAATTGTGCTCGGTTTTAATTGCGGGATTAATAAATGGAGTAAAAATTGTGTTTTAATTGAAGTTGATTGGCTCTAAACGATTTAAATACTCAGCAAATATCTTAACCTAATTTCAAAGCACTGCAAAACGAGTTGGAACGCATCTGAATTCGGTGGATTTCAATTCCAAGGGGTATATGTCAAAGTAGGTGTGTCTGGTTATAGCATGTTTCCATTGGAAACCGAACAACGTTGTTCGCTCTCAGAATTAGGTACACGAATTAACGGCACGATTCGTAATTCATAGTAAAATAATTCCTTTTTTCAAAAATTTTGTTTGTTGATTTTAATGGGAATTTATACGAAAATACATGAAATTCTCACTAATATGAATAGAAGAAATTATTGTTTTCCTCCCAAAGATTTATTATATCATTAATTTTACAATTTTCATTCACGATTTCAACTTTTTGTGTAAATGTTGACATTTTGAACACATTTTTGTGTTTTTCCATTTTTAAATTCTGCTGGAGAGACACTTGTCAAACATTTTTTCTGCCGATAGAAACATTTTGAAAATGTTGCCTCTTTTGTTTGCGTTTTCTGTGGAAATTTTAACTCGTGGACAAAATGCGTACCTCGAATGAGAGAGAAAACAAAATTTACTTTCGTTTGAATGTACATACGCCATTCAACATTGTAGTTTTCATTCATAATTTTCAGTCTTCCCGAAAATTTTTAAAATTTCATCAAATTTTTCTATTTTTAATTTTTAAATGTCATAATTTATTTTTTCGATAAATGCTCTCATTTGTTAGGGATGGGACATATTTTTTCGTTGTTCTGAGAGTGATTTGATTTGAACAACGTACAAATATGAGTTTTCGCTCAGGAAATTTTGTGTGAAGAATTAGGTAGTTTTTTCATAGTTAAGGGTCAAACAACGAATAGAGAGCGAATCAAGTGCAGTGGAAACGCCACATTACCCTAAAATTTGTAACAATTGTTGCATATTGTTACTGGAAGTCTGTTAACACAAAAGATCTGACAAAGAGAGCGGTTTGAGAGAACAATTTTGACAGTTAATTCACTAAGTGTTTTCACATTCTTGCTTCTAGAATAACACTACCTTAAGGTGGGAATACATAAAGCGCTTATTTGGCTGGCTTAAGTCATCGGCAGGCTTCTTCGGAAATGAACAAAGGAGCCTAGGGCCATTTAAAACTCCTTTCCTCTACGAAGAAGCCAGCCAAATATGCGTTTTATGTATTTCCTGGACTTCAGATTTGACGTAATGAAATTAATATGTCAAAAAAATTAAATGTTTTTTTTTTCAAATATAAGTAAATTTTTATGTTTTCTTATACGTCATTCGTAGGTTGTTATAATTCGCGTTTTTAAACAATTTTTACAAACACAGATAAATCTTCATTCAACTTTTTCAATTCCAAAATTGATTTGACAGTTCATTGTCCCAGAAGCTTGTCGATGCGACTACCTATGTATTTCTACCATGGCCTCCACCATAGTAGATATATTCTTGATCAGCATAAAATTCTATGTCGATTTAGCGATGTCCGTCCGTCTGTGGAAATCACTCTAGCTTCCGAACGAATTGAAGTAGATTGATAAAATTTTACTCAAATGGATATTATGTCTATTTATATATTTTGATATTGAAAATGGGCCATGTAGGTTCACGTTTTGGTATAGCCCCCATATACGGTACCTCCCGATATTCGGTATTTTGATGATTTTGGCGACATTATTCACCGGAATTGTTTAAATTTTGGTATTTGATATTCGTAATATTGCTACAGCCTAAGACAGATAATTGTCTGTGCAGGTCCACGTCTTCGTATAGCCCCCATATAAGGGTACCCCTCGATATTCGTTATTTTGATGATTTAAGCGACAATATTCACCGATTTTGTTTAAGTTTCGCATTAGAATATTGTAATGACTTATGACAAAAGTTACCTATGCAGGTCCATGTCGTCGTATAGATCCTAATATAAGAGCCACATTCGGTATTTTTAAGATTTTAATAGAATTTTTAACGTTCCAAATGGTGAAGGGTATCCAAAGTTCTGACCGGCCGAACTTACAGCTATTTAAAATTTAAAACAATTGGTCTTTTGAAGGTCACAAACTTCAGGCTGGCGGCCTTTGTTAATTTTATTCCCAAAATACAGGACCTTCACCACAAAAAATTAAGGGATGGGCACATAAGCTTCGGATGGTATATTTTGTGATCATAAAGGGATGCCAGTGCCGCACTCGAATCCTGCTGTCGTTTCCCATATTAATTTGACATTAATATGCCTAGCCATTATGTCAAGCTACTTATGTACCCTTCACCTTAAAAGTTTTTCTACACAACTTTTTCTGATATATTTTTTGTTTTAAAACACTGTGAAATGGTATCCTATTTCAAATTGCAAACCCTAATCTCTGACAAATAAACATATATTATATTGACATATTTATACTTCAATATTGATACAATCCCTTTTTTCGAATCTATATATTTCGTTATGGGTTTTTGGGTATTTACAATACTTTTTATTTCAATATATTTAACTGGAGGTATGTATTATTAATTAATCGCAAATGAATGAACCATTCCCATCACGCCTATATTGTCATAGTTTCATCGCTGCATTGTCACAAATGCAACAAGGAACAACATGGTACTTGTGCCAAACTCCTGGGCAATGATAAATTTTTGCAATTGTGTCCCGAAGATTACGAATATTGTGCCATGATATGGACCAAAGAAGAGGTACTCAAACGTGGCTGCAACAATGGAACGGTGTGTGACGAATACAAAGGGGACGACGAGACTAGTTGCTGTTATTGTCAAAACGATGGTTGCAATTATGGGGCAATATCATGTAATGGACGGGATGCATTACACATTGAGCTCTTATTGATTGTTGTCATGCCGCTGGTAACTGGTTTCAAATTACTTCAATTGTTAATAATGTAATTATTTTAATAAACAACTAATTTGAAATGGAATTATGCAAAAGTCGAATGAGTGTAAATCAATTTCCCAAACCGGAAGAAAGTTCTTTACTGACGAAAATAAGTTTTTTTACATTAGGCATGGAATTACCTATCCTTTATGTATACGCAGCAGTATAAAGGAAGCGTTTGTAAAGGAGAACATAAATATTCCAAATGCGACTTTCAACATTGAATTTTTGTGTGTTCTGAAGTTTAACACACTAAATAATAAGCCACACTTCTTAAACATAAACTGCTTGGCATTTCCTAGTATTGAACTTGTAACCCTTAGTTTTGGAGTCTGGAATTATATCTACCGCAACATCTTGCTATTCTTGGTAATAACTCGCCCACATTCGAGACTCATTTTTTCACACGCACGCCGGAATTTACCGTTTCCAAAAGATTAACCTTGAAAGGGGGAACGGAAGATTTCGATTACTTCACATTACCGTTAAAAAACTTTGTCAACAAAATTTCCCTACACAGCTTTCGAAGAATCAAACTCACACATTTTGAAGGATATAAACAAAAACTTGATATGTGGCCTTATAAGGGTAGTTTTCTCGTGAATCACCGTCATAAGGTTTCTGTTTCAATACTATCCACCATTTCGAAAGTAATACTTTGAAAATATGCTAATAAGTGGCGAGATCTAGTATTCCTGCGGACGAAGTTATTTATATTATTAGAAACATACAATACAAAATTTATCATCATCGAAAAGCATCGAAAAAATCCATGAAAAAATGTGGCAAACATCATCAAAATAGCGAATATCGAGAGGTACCGTTATATGGCGGCTATGCCAACACGTAGACCTATACATACAATGTTTCAATACGAACCATCCTAGGCACAATACAAATTGTTCTGCTAAATTTTGACGCTCTACGCCAAAAAATGTGGGCTGTATCGTGATTTTAACAGACAAACGGACGGACATCGTTAAATCGACTTAGAATTTTATGCTGATTATGAATATATATACTATATGGGGTCTACGATGAATATTTAGGGATGTTACAAACGGAATGACAAAGTTAATAACCCTCCTTTACAAGGAGGAGGGTTTAAAAAAGTTGTTGGTATTAGGAGAGAATTAGAGCGAAGGATTTATAGAGAGAAGTGTAGTTAGCAAATTTGTGAATGATGCTGGGATCTATATCTAAAAAGAATGTTAGATTTTCTATCTCCCACCTGCCAAATAGCTAATGTCTCTTGTTGGATAACAGGGGACATCTTTATTCAATCGTCTCTACTTTTTTTCATCTTCACATATTCTATATTATTCAGGAACACTGTTATCCAATCTTGGGATGCTGCAGATCTATTAAATGATACAAAGACGAATGTGCTAACCGGTTAAATGGCCCACCTGCCAAATAGCTAATGTCTCTTGTTGGATAACAGGGGACATCTGTATTCAATCGTCTCTACTTTTTTTTCATCTTCACATATTCTATATTATTCAGGAACACTGTTATCCAATCTTGGGATGCTGCAGATCTATTAAATGATACAAAGACGAATGTGCTTACCGGTTAAATGGCCTAAGATGGCCTACAACATTTTTCTAATTGTCGTCTTTTAACCGCTTCTTCGATGAGAGACTTCTTCAAGCAGCTGAAATAATGGGCTATTGGTGGTTTAACAGTTACATCAATTGGAAGATCAATCGATTGGGAACCTCCTCGCTCTAATTCATCAGCCAACTCATTTCCCACTATGTTGCGGTTCTACATGAACCCAATGTACCTCATATGTAATTTTCTTCATCCAAATACAAAAAAAAAAATCGTTAATATATCAAAAATTCTACGGACCTAAAATATTTGTTCACCTGCTTCATTCTTTTCGAAAACCAGAGTGGGTTTCACAGACGGACAGACATAGCTAATTCGACATATAAACTTATGCCAATCAAAAATATATTCTTCGTAGGATCCACCATGTTTATTTGGAAGAATTAAAAAGCTTAATATACCCATAATAGTTTGGTGGAGGTCTTTACGTTCTATAAATATAACCATTGCTTTTTTAAGTAATTAAATTCTTAAAGCCAGTTGTAGAACAGTCTCTGGTTCCGTCGCATGGGAGATGAGGTTCAGATCTTGGATCCTATGCTTTCGCATTAGCCTAAATTTTCTATTGAGTTCAGGAGTTCGTCAAAAATACGATATTTTTGGTTATTTTCTTCATCATCGCACAGCGTGCAGTGTAGGTGTTACGCAAATCGGCTATGAATTTCTGCTCATGCAGCAATTTTTGTTGCAGCTTTCTGGAGTACTGATTTCCTACCAGACGAGTGAGTGTTCAGCAATTCATTTTCCATCCACTTCTTCATTATCATTTATATTGTACTGATTTGCTTCACACTTTCTTGGTAATTTGGTGCCCTCAAAGCCAAATGGAAAGATATTTCTTTTCCCAATTCCCTATAGTGTTTTAAAAACTCAACCTTTCGGTCCGGTTGGCCCTTATGTTTTCCTTTTTCTCAATGGCAAGTAAATCTACTGTCTCACATTGAACCTGTTTAAAACAGTCAAGTAGTTTTTTGCAATACTATCAAATCAAAATTAATTTCAAATCAAAAATAAATTCATACTCAAATTGAAAAAATCCTTCGTTTGTAAAATACATTAATGTTCGGCCACAAAATTAATTCAATTATTGAGGAACTTTTATTTAGGTGTATTCAAATTTTACGTTATTTCATAAAAATGGATATAAATAAAGAATTTGGTAAGATATTTTGTTATTCTCAAGACATTTAATCTGAAACTATTTTTTCATAGCTCAAGAAACTGAGGAACAACATTCTCAGGAAGATTCATCTGTTTCCCAAAAATCTTGCAAAAAATGTAAAATTGTTTGTAAATCTTCATCTCAATGTGAAAATTGCAGCACGATGATGATAAAATGTAAACTGAATCCAAGTAGTAGATGCGATGCACCAGTTGCATTGGTAAATAGCAGTACGAATTTGCAGATGAATGCTGAGTTTGATGTTTTCAATCTGAGACAGCTTTATCAAATGTCCGGTCATAGTCTACGAAGTTTAAGGACTTCAAACAAAAAGTCCGCAATATCAAACCACTCAAATTCGAGTGCCTTGGTATGCAAGCCAAATAATAAGAAGATCGGTGGCAGTTTTCATAGCATAAAAATTCAAATTTGCAATATGCCAACTCTGCAGGAAGCCCATATAGAAGATGAAAATGCGATAGAGATGCCAGCCACAAATGACGACAAGAGTTTTACCAAAGAATCCGTATCAGGACCTGAAAACCAGAATTTCACTTCTCACAGTTCGAAATCGATAGATCTGGATTTAAGTAAAATTGAAGATTTAAGCCAAGATGATATCATTGTTATAAGCAGCGATGATGACGATGAAAAGTCCCTTGAAACTGGTGTATCAGAAATCGATATAGAAGTTAAATCCACCCATAACAGTGGAGATTCTATAAATAAAACAAAAACAGCCAAAGCTATATGTCACTCAACCAAATGCACACAGATTCCAGCTGAAGCAAATTGTTTACCAGCCAATACCCAAACTCAGTTGTGTGTTAAAATGCATCCACCACGCCTATTTCAAATACCATCATCGTCATCTTCTTCGGGTCATAACGGTTCCATTACCCAACCACTTACAGCATCCATTCCCAATGGCCACAAACAACGACAATTGGAATTGCATCGATTACGAGTTCAAGTGCTGGAACTTAAGCGGAAGTTGTTGGAACTTAAGCTGAAGCGAGAACGTGATGAAATGAAACGAGAACAAATAGCATTTGAACGAAAACAGGGAACAGTAATTTCCTCATTTCATGATTTAAATTATGAAAGAGATGTTTAAACCTTAAAATCAATAAATAATTTTTTATAATTTACTAAAGAACATTAAAATTTTTTTATTAGTCGTTAAATTTTGGTACCATCCATTCTAATATTTATATCTGATATATTAGGTAGAAAATCGAAATATCAAATAATAGATCGTTTGACACACTCTCCAAAGTGTTTTTTAAATGATTAATAATTCGAATTGGATATTAAGATCATTATAGTATTAGATTGCTGCTAAATCGATATAAATATCCTTCAAGCGCCCTCAAAGATTTTTATTTCTGTATCTAGAGACAGTCCAAATTGTTGTACAATATGACTGCTCATCACTGACGTCGCAATTGTGTCTCAGTTTGAGTTAGCATCACTGATTCTATGAATATCAAATACAACTCTGCGCCATAAAATCAACAGCTGTGTTTCATTTAGAGGTGGAGAAACATCGATGTTTACAACCACCTATGTTACATCGATGTTTCTGAAAAAAAAAAAAAAATTTTACTACGGTAACAGATATCATAAAGGGAATATCGGAAATCGTAATAAGATTTTGCACATTCTTGCAGTACTGGAATAGAGCATATGCTCTCATTGCAATTCATGGTAGAAGAATACAAGTAGATGCATCAACGCTTAGGACCATTGATATGTCAAAAAATGTTAAATGTTTTTTAAATATAAGTAGATTTATATATGTTTTCTTATACGACGTCATTCGGAGGTTATTGTAATTAGTGTTTTTCAATAATTTTTGCAAATATAAAAAAATTTCACTCAACATTTTCAATTGTAAAATTGGTTTGACAGTTCATTGTCCCAGCAGTTGTGTCGATGCGTCTACCTATATTCTTCTACCATGTTGCAATTTCAATCTAATGATATGTTCTCATTGCACTTTTAATCACGTTGTTCGCTCTCAGAATTATGTACACAAATTAACCCGTTTATACGGCGCGATTCGTAATTTAAAGCAAAATAATTCCCTTCATGCGAAAATGCATTGAATTCACATACATTCTAGTTTTTATTCATAATTTTCAGTCTTCCCAAAATTTTTTTAAAATATCATTAAATTTTTCTATTTTTTTATTTTTTAAATGCCATTATTTTTTTTTCCCATAAATGATCTCATTTATTAGGGATTGCACATATTCAATCTTAGTTCTAAGAGTGATTCGAATGGAATAAGGAACAAAAATCTTTGTTCGCTCAGCAAATTGTGTGTGGGGAATTAAGTAGATATTTCTTAATTAATGGTTAAACAAGGAATAGAGAGCGAATTACGTGCCATGTGAACTAAGCATAACTTACGAATTAACCGTTCTTACAGCACGATTCGTAATTCATAGTAACATTATTCCTTATTTCAAAATATTTATTTTTTAATTTTAGGGGAATTTGTAGGAAAACATATGAAATTCGCAATAATATGAACAGAAGAAATTATTGTTTTTTCTCTAAAGATTTATGTTATTATTAGTTTTACAATTTTTATTCATATTTAGAACTTTTTGTGTATTAATATTTTTTTTTTTTTTTTTTGGTGTTTTTCCGTTTTTAAAATTTTTTTGGAGTAATATCAATAAATGAAATAATAATATAAAGTAATTAAAACATATTTGTATTTTTTGATTAAAACAAAAGAAAAATTTAAGTCATACTCATTTATTAAAACAAAAAAAAAAAAAAACATTTTTAATTCAGAACTAACGATGGTCCTGTAAAAGTTACAAAATATGATTAGTTACAACGATATAAATGCATGGGCGACTTTGTCGCTCAAAAAACTTAAATTTCGATCTCCCCATAGCATCACATATGTCTTCATTACTATTACTTACTTGTAAACTACAACTCAACGGTCGTCATCAACACCTAATGTGTTAAATCCACGAAACAAATTTCCTATAAGTATATATTATTAATAAAATTCTGCTTATCAATAAAATTCCACTCAATCTTACCTTTTGCGTGTTCTCTTTCAAGTTTTTGATACTTTTAGAGATGACAAAGAAAACATCGATGCTCGTTATAATACATCGATGTTTAAGAAAATGTCAAAACATCGATACCTCGATAGAAACATCGATCTCCACCTCTAGTTTCATTGTTTTCATTTGTTTTCCCGCCAAGTTAGCTTGCAGAAAAAATCATTGCTTCGCAAGCATTTAAATATTGCTGAGCTAATTTTTTACACTTTAACAATTTTACACAAGCAGATTTTAATATTTTATTGTTATAATGGCAGACTCACCATGTAAATATATTGTTTACCTACATTTTTATGGCACAGTGTTATGCATTAATTCCTTTCAGGTGAGCCCCGAGCAAAGAGACAAAAAGTTGATAAAGCAGGTCGTTTTGCTGCACTCGCCAAGTTGAAAGAACTAAAAGGCAGTAAACATAAATATGAAGTGGAGGAGGAGGTCGACAATGTTTATGAAATAGTCGATGAACGTGAGTATGCCAAGAAGGCAAAGGAATTGTACGGTGATGACTGGATAGAAGATGGTAAGCATTTGTCAAGTGTTCCCCATAGATGAGCGATTGTAACATAACTTTGTTTGAAGATGGTACCGGCTATGCTGAAGACGGTCGAGACTTTTTCGAAGATGAGGCTGAATATTCGGATGATGATACCGCAAAATCATCTAAAGATCAAAAGAAAGGTGGCAAAAAGCGTCCGCGAGAAAGTGATAAACCGGTCAAAGGCAAAGGTTCCATAAGAAATCTCTTCAGCAATGCTGTTCCCAAAAAGGCTGCGGCAGCATCAATTAAAGATGATGATATCTTAAACGATATTTTGGGCGAGCTAGAGGATAAACCGAAGGAGTCATCAACATCGAATGAAGCAGCAAAATCCCAAAAAGTAATTGCCCCCGCACGTATTGTCACCAATACACGGAAATCAGATGCGGCTGTGGCCAAAGAATATATGAATAGCTTCATCAACAACATCAATATGAAAGAATCCTCAAAGAAATCCAAAGAAAACAGTGACGATGAACTTTTGGATAGTATATTAAAATCAAAACCAAAAGAAAAGGCGAAAGCTCCCACAGCAACGACGCCGGCAGTTGCAGCTAAGCCAACAGAACCAAAAGAATCACAACCAAGGGAAGAGAACAAAGAAAATGCTAGAGAACCCTCAATTCCAAAGGAGGTGGAAGCTCCCAAAACATCATCATCGTCTAGTGAACCTGTTATACCAGATGATGATATGGACTTTAGTTGTTTGCAGGATGATGAAAATCAATTTGATTTGGAGAAAACTTTAGGGGCAACCAAAAAAGTAGAATCGCCGGTGAAACCGAAAGCTCCAGTGGTGACACCTGAAGAAGATATGCAAAAGTTACTCAATAATTGGGAGAATATATGTCAAATGGATGATTTTAATGAGGAGCTGACAGCTACATCAGCCACAAATGGAACTGATGTGTTAAGTGGTCAGGAGAATTTACGTTTCTGGTATTGGGAAGCATGGGAAGATCCCCTACGTCGTCCCGGTGAAGTTTTCCTATTTGGTCGCACGCAAGAGGGTAAATCGATTAGTGTGCGTGTGGAGAAAATCGATCGTGTTATATATCTGCTGCCAAGGGAATATGTAAGTACAATCATCTACTATAATTTTTATTTGTTAATTTATCCATTTGAGATAATCAGACTGAATTTTAAGCTGAAAATAAATCGAGTTGGGGTCATTGTTCAAAAATATGTGAAACAAGTAAGCAAAGGCTACAGTCGAGCGGGGCCGACCGTTGAATACCCTACAACACTATAAAAAACGATACAGTTTATATATGCGAGATACTCGAAAGAATTCCACAAGATATTGCGACAAATAATAAAAGAAACCCATCAGGTTTCGTTCTCTAATTTTCGAATAATAGCAACTTAAACTAATTTCCTCATTTCCAATTTATTGGTAGATGTTGCACGTAAATGGTCTTCCTAGATCTGAAACCAATATTTCCCAAAGACCTATAATCTCTCAGAAGTGGCAAAAGATTAAAATTTATTATTGGTTTTTGACTGAAACGCATTTATATAAGATATAGACATTTGACTATACGAAATCAGCGTTAACGAAATAGTCAGAAGTGCGTCTTTCCTTTATTTGTGAATTCTCCAAAAAGTCACTGGAATGGACATTTTTGTATTTTGTCAAAAAAAGTAGGCAAACAATTTCACACATTGAATATTTTTGGATGGCGATCCAAAACTGCTTGGCTTTTGCAATGTGCGGTAACCCCCATTCAAATGTGCGTGCGGATCGGGCGATAATTATGACCTGCCGAAAATTTTGCAGTTTTTTGGTCCATTTCAACCCCTAAATATATGACGATCATCTCCAAAAAGAGTAGGCTTCTATTCTGACCCTCATCTTATCCCCATGCAAAATTTCGAAAGGATCGGGCCATAAATGCGATTTGTATATGACATCCTGATATCCTAAGTACTTAGTTTTGTTAGCTGTAGAAATATTACCAAATGTTTAATTCAAAATGAAAATATGCCAAAAATATGACAAAATTGAAAAAATATGAGAAAATGTTACAAAATCAATATTTTCATCTTTAGAGAGGTATTTTTATGCGATTTTTTAGACGTTTTTTCTTTCCTGCCAAGAGGCCCTTCTGAATTAATGAGAACTGTCTAAATCAGTTCAGCCGTTCTCGACATATATGAGATCTTTCAAGCATATCTTCTTTGATAGACATATATATCGCACATATTTTGCTATATATCCGATTTGTTGGATCTTAACATCAATGTAAAGATCAGAAGTAACCTTGTCATGGCTTTGTGATTTCGCCGGGATTTAAAATATTCGCGGTTTAATGAAAAATTTTGCATTTTTTCAACACAAAAGATATGGTCTATTTTACCCTCTAAACATTATCCGATGACCACCCAAATTGGTAGGCTTCTTCCCCGCCCTAAACTCTAGCTACATGCGAAATTCTGTGTCGATTGGTCTATAACTGCGACCTGTAGAGCAACTGGAAAATAAGGAAATTTTTCAGTATTTGGTCCATTTCAACCCCTAAATGTTATGCGATCATCTCCAAAAGAAATAGGGTTCTATTCTGACCTTAGCCCCACCTCCATTTTAAATTTGGTGAAGATCGGGCCATAATTGCGACCTGTAGAGTGATTACAAATTAACATGGACAGACGGACAGACGGACGGACGGACATACATAGCTAGATCGACTCAGCTCGGCGAGCTAGGAAGATCCATATATACTTTCCTATGTGGGAAACCAATATTTCGAGGTGTTACATAATTTTTGGCCCAATCAAACTTATAATACCCCCAACACATAGTGTTGTAGGGTATAAAAAGTAAAAAAAATAGAGTTAGCCGAAGTTCCAATATATTTGTTTAGTATCACAGCCGAGTTTTCTGAAATGATCTAATAGATAAATACATATTTTACTCATGTAAATTGGCTGGCGAAGATGTAGTATATAAATAGCGTTCGAGTATAACTAAAAAAAGTTCGACGCGACGTTAACTCAAAAGTATTTCGTCTTTCTTTAAATTTCTATTCATTTGTTACTTTTATTCCTTCCAGCTTTTGGATCCCATCACTAAGGAGCCAACCAAACAAAAAGTCACACTGGCCGATTTGTACAAAGAATTTGATGAATCCATATCAAACGATCTGAAATTAGGTGAATTTCGTTCACGTAAAGTAACCAAGAACTTTGCATATCATTCAATTGGCATAGATGTGCCACAACAATGTGACTATATGGAAGTACATTATGATGGCAAGAAACCTCCACCAAATACCAAACTAAAGTATAATTCAATTGCTCATATATTTGGTACGAATACTACATCTTTGGAAAGATTTATTTTGGATCGCAAAATAAAAGGTCCCTGTTGGTTGAATTTGAAACAATTCAAAGTAAATCCCGCACCCATGAGTTGGTGTAAAATAGATGTGACGGTTAGTGAGCCAAAGTTTGTGGTTTTAACCGAAGACCCGAAGCCGGTGCCACCTCCACCCATAACTCTGCTGACCTTAAATGTACGCACATCGCTGAATAGTAAAACGCTGAAAAATGAAATTTGTATGATATCCATGTTGGTTCACAACCGATTCCAAGTGGATAAGCCACCACCGAATCCGCCCTTCAATAAACATATGTGTGGCCTTACACGGCCTGCAATGTGCACTTGGCCATTTGATTTGAATGCAAAGTTGACCAAATTCAAAGCAACCAAAATTTTTAAACATGATTCGGAAAGGGCTTTGCTTAGTTGGTTTTTAGCTCAGTACCAGCAAATTGATGCAGATCTTATTGTTACACATGATGCTTTGGATTGTCAGCTGGATGTCATAGCTGATCGTATTGTCACCTTGAAAATACCACAATGGTCACGTTTGGGTCGGCTGCGTATGTCTCAGGCTTTCGGCAAGAAAATGTTGGATTTCTTTATTGGGCGCATGGTGTGCGATGTAAAACGCTCCGCCGAGGAATGCATACGTTCCAGATCATATGATTTACAAACTCTGTGTCAAAATGTCTTGAAAATCAAAGAAAACGATCGCATGGAAGTAAACGAAGAAGATCTATTGGAAATGTTTGAAACTGGTGATGGCATTTTGAAATTGGTTACGCTGACCATGCAAGATGCTTCATTCATTCTAAGGCTAATGTGTGATTTAAATATTATGCCATTGGCTTTGCAAATAACCAACATTTGTGGTAACATTATGACTCGTACACTGCAGTCGGGTCGTTCGGAACGTAATGAATATTTGCTGTTGCATGCATTCACGGAGAAGAATTACATCGTACCCGATAAGAAGAAAAGAGAATTTAACAATGCTTCTGCTGATCCTGAAGCTGGGGATCATGATAGTACTGCTGCCAATACAACGTCTGCTGCAGGCGGTGGACGTAAAAAGGCGGCATATTCTGGTGGTTTAGTGTTGGATCCCATACGTGGCCTATACGACAAATACATTTTATTGATGGATTTCAATTCGCTATATCCCAGTATAATACAGGAATATAACATTTGTTTTACCACAGTGCAACAGCCCTACAATCCCGAGGATGTGCCACAATTGCCCGATTCAACTTTGGAGGCAGGCATATTGCCACAGCAATTGAGACGTTTGGTGGAATCACGTCGTGAAGTTAAAAAATTAATGGCCCAGCCAGATCTTGCTCCCGAATTACAAATGCAATATCATATAAGGCAAATGGCTTTAAAATTGACCGCCAATTCCATGTATGGTTGTTTAGGTTTTGCCCATTCGCGATTCTTTGCTCAGCATTTAGCTGCGCTGGTCACCCTTAAAGGTCGTGAAATTCTCATGAATACCAAATCGTTGGTACAAAAAATGAACTATGAGGTGGTATATGGTGACACTGATTCAATCATGGTCAATACCAACATCACCGACTATGAGCAGGTATTTAAAATTGGAAGCGGCATTAAGCAGAGTGTTAATAAACTGTACAAACAATTGGAACTGGATATTGATGGAGTGTTCAGCTGTTTGCTGCTGCTTAAAAAGAAGAAATACGCCGCTGTTAAGGTGGTCAAGACGGCCAAGGGTAAGAAAATTCTTAAATATATTTTTTACTTTTTTCGAATATGTACAATTTTTCTATTTTTGCAGGTGAACTGAAAAAGGAGCAAGAACACAAAGGTTTGGACATTGTCCGTCGTGATTGGTCTCAAATTGCAATTATGGTCGGTAAGGTGGTACTCGATGAAGTATTGTCGGACAAACAATTGGATGATAAGCTCGATGCTGTGCATTCGCATTTGGAGAAAGTTCGTGATCAAATATTGGCTGGTGATGTTCCGCTACCCATGTTTGTGATAACCAAACAATTGTCGAAAGCCCCCACCGATTTTAATAATGCTTCAACGCAACCGCACGTTCAAGTGGCACTGCGTATGAATAAAACCCGCAATCGTCGTTACAAGAAGGGCGATATGGTCGATTATGTTATTTGTCAAGATGGCACCTCAAATGCAGCCACACAGAGGGCTTATCATTTGGATGAATTAAAGGGTAGTGAAACTCTTAAATTGGATACTGATTATTATCTTTCGTCACAAATTCATCCGGTTGTAACACGTATGGTTGAGGTCTTGGATGGTACCGATGCTAGTCGTGTGGCGGAGTGTTTGGGATTGGATCCAACCAAATTTAGAGCTCAAGTTCAAAGGTAAGTTTTGAAAAAAGATATGTTATGAACAAAGATAAACAAGAGCAAAATAAGTCTTGTGTTGATAGTTACTTGACCCTTAAGCCTGTCATTCTGATCTATGTCTTTGTAATCTTATAATATATCCTCTATGCGTTTATAGACTCGGCCATATGACTAGAGAAATAACGGTTTTAGACCCTGCGCACGATAACTCTCGAAGGGAGTAACTGATTTGGTTCAAACTTGGTACATCGTAATATTATTTTAAAACTTAGATTTAGTTCGGATATCGGTTCTCTCCTTCTGGTACCTCCCCCACATAAGGTCAAATTTTCAAATAAATATATATTTTACTGCACAGAAAGAGAAAGGAAAATCCGATTGTGCTCCAACTTTGCGAATCCGAGTATTTGCACCAGTGCTAGATCAAAAATGGACAGTATCGGTCCTCTTCATAAAGAACCTCCCCCACAAAGGGTAAAATTTTTGGATAACTATAACTCTTATAAAATGTGACGTAAGATTCCTATTGTCTTCAAATTTCACACATCACAATATTTTTATTAACACAAGATCTGCTGAAAAGAGGGGATATACCGGTCCACTCCTACTGGTTTCTCTCCCACAAAGGCTGAAAATTTTGAATATCTATGGTGCTCTTAAAACGCGAAATTAACATCCGATTTCATTCAGACTTTCAATATTTCCTTAAACACAAGATCTGTTATAAATGTGGGGGAGATCGCACTATTTTTTCTTGTACCTCCCCCACAAAGAGTCAAAAATTTGAATAACTAAAACGAGCATAAAATCCGAAATAAGCATCCAGTTCTCATCAAATTTCACACATGCCATTATTTTTACTAACACAAGATCTGCTGTGAAAATGGAATATATATCGGGGCACTCCTTCTGGTACTTACCCCACAAAGGGTTCAAAAATTTGAAAAGCAAAACGCAAATTTCACAAATCCAAACTTTTGTGGATAAGGCAAAATCTGTTGTGAAGATGATAGATATCGGCCAGCCCGTTCTGATACCTCAACAACAAAGGGTCACAATTTCCAATACTTATATCTGTCATAATTTGCGAAACAAGTCGGTGATTCTACAAAATTTGCTATATATATAAATATTTTCCTTAGCCAGAAATCTGATATGAATATGTAATTAATTAAGTTGGACAATATTGGCTAACTGCTTCGGAACCTCCTCCATAAAGGTTCAACAGTTAGAATAATCATAACTCAAGGCTGGGGGTATACATCTGTCGGCAAAACCGACTGGTACTATTTAACTTGTTTTTTACTTTTTCATAAATATATTTCTTTTCTTTTTACAGAACCTATGAAGAGCGTGCAGTTGATTCCACTGGCGAATCATTGGTTAAGAGTACCTTACAAAAATATCGTACCTGTGAGAAATTCAAATTCATATGTGTACGTTGTAAAACGGAAAACATCGTTGCATCTGCATATAAACCTTCGGCTGGCAATTCATATGAAGCTGTCCTGCAGAAATGTTCAAATCCAGATTGTTCCATTGCTCCCTATCAATATGTCATTGCTATACGCAATCAACTTATTCTCAGTATGCGTGGATTTATAACACGTTTCTATCAGAATTGGTTGGTGTGTGATGATCCGGCATGTAATCAGAACACACGCTGTTACACTCATGTCACCAGTGGTCGTCGTCCCGTGTGCATGCGTTGTAAAAATGGCACTCTCGTCAGACAATACACCGAAAGAGATCTCTACGATCAATTAAGTTATTTCCAATATATGTTTGATTTGTCAAAACATCTGCATAAAAGTAAGTAGGAAATAGTAGCCCAGGTTGACATAATTTATTTTATCATTTGATTTCTTTTATTTTAGATGTTAACATTTCACCCGAGGTCACAGCTGCTTATCATGTGTTACGTGAAACGGTCGATCAACAATTGGAGAAATCTGCATATTGTACTATTGCCCTCAGTAAACTCTTCGCTGGGTGGAAACCATTGCTTCATGATGAAGTTGTAGCCCAAAAGAAAATCGATCTACCATCGGTACAAGTGGCAGCCACTTTGGATGATATTTAGTTTGTAGGGAAATATGCATTTTAGCAACGCCAATTATTATGGTGTATGTTTTTTATATTCATATCAATAGTCCATAGCAATTGTAAAAAGCAGCACATAATCAATCATTTATAACAGCAATTATTTTATGCATGTTATTACATATCCAAACAAAAAGTTTTGAAATATATTTAATTTGTACACAAATATCTACTTTGGTGAATGTTTCAAACTCGAATGAATAACACACAAGTTTACAAAATTACTTTAATTGACTGATGTAGTATAAGCTGTCACGTGAGGAACTGTGCTAACATTGATTATTCCCACCCAAAAGACCTTGAAGTAAAGCCCATTTATTTTGTTTTAAGCCGAAGAAATAATGGTGCAAAACAACTGGTCAGCATAAATCGTACTTAATGCAACATCAAGAAGTAAAAAATGTTTATATGTTTGATGTAAACAAAACATTGGCGTCATAAACAAAGCACATCGCACGTTTATGGGATTATAGTTTGCCAATAAACCGGTTTGTATTTTGTCAAAGAGACTACGGAAGAAGACGTATTTCCTTCATTGCATTGTTGTGGTAAATTCATAGCGTTGTCTACGATAACATAGCTATGTCAATGACTATTATTTGCTGTAATTGAATTGGAGACTTTTCTTTTGCCGATCACAAATACCCTACCAATAGCAAGCTGGGTTACAAACATTTTAAAAGGATTTGTCGCAACAGAAAAAAAGTAGAAAAGTAGAAGGTTTGAAAGTAGTCAGTCAGTCAGTAGGTATATTTAGTTTAAATATACGTGACCACCTCAAAGAACTCTTGTCTTTTTTCTTCATCCTGGAAAGATATTTAGATATAATAGTCAGAAGATTTTCTTTTCATATTTTTTCCAAACGAAAAGACAATCCTTTTATTTGATAACAGAAAACATTTGCATATTAGGTGTTAGATCATCTTTATCTTCTCTTCACCTTCACATGGTCAATTGTGGGGCCTGAATCTGTAGATCAATCCGCCGCGAGTCACTCCATCTAATCCGTCGCAGTATTACTTTGTCTAAGGTGTCAATCTAGTTTAACTGAGTAACGCTTTTAGGAATAACCGTTCCGCAGTCTTGTATGGATCTAGAGTTTAAGGCGCTGTAATGCAACTTCCAAGGTCGTCTACCATCCCTGAAATTTGCAAGTTGAAGTGATTCTAAAAAAAAAATAGTTAAAAACCGACACCGATTTGCTAATCACCACTTTTGCCTGCGCGTTTTTGTGCTGTTTCTATGAAGATGTCTACGTCAGCACCTTCCTCCATTTGAAACATCAGGGTATCGACTCTATTTGAACGTTTGCCTTGATGATACCTGAACGAAAGTCCTTACCATGATTTGGAGGCTATATCATGCTGGGTCTCGTTACCTCCACAGTCCCGACTTCTTACGGAGACGAATTTAAACAACAAACACAATACCAACAGACAACCAACCGCTTCTGATAAAGCGCCATCTAAGGACATCGCCAACGACACGATTTTAAATGCGGGCGTGAAGCTGACTCTGATGATGTACCGAGACGGGGTTTGTGAAGCTCTGAGGCTCATCCAGGATAGGCTTCCATCTGGTTGTGGGAATGACTCCTCTCTCTGTCTCTCTCTGGCGAGGAAATTGATATTACCGTCCTACTCTCATCTCATAGAGTTTAGTAGAGGCAAAAAACACTGAAAATACACCACCTTGTGCTCAGATGAGGTCAAACTTCAATGAGGGAAATCCATCGGTATGCATTGTCATATGCAGGATGCCACACCAACCAGTGTACCAAAAACCCACGGTGACTCTGGCTCAAGGTAGACAAAAGCTAAGAGGGGTTATAAGCGGTCAATGAAGTACTGTAGAAAGTTCATTGACCGAGTTACGGATATTGTGTTCCCTTGAGTAGGAGCTGTTCTCTCTCCTTTCAGACCTCGAAAAGAAAGTTATTCCACCTGTGGAAAAAGCATCTGACGAGGGTGCTGTGGAGGTCAGCAATATTCCGGCTGATAAGCCGGCCTTAACTGTTGCACAAGCCGTCAACCCCTGTCGTCAGCAAGAGGACTGGTCTTGTTCCAATAGCCTCTAAAGGTAAAAATGAAACCACCGAATTTCGAGCCAAAGCCGCAGGAAGTAAATATTCTCCCAGACTATCTACCCGGACAACCTGCGTTCACCATTCGATGGTCATTGAGGACCGTCTGAGGTAGTCATTCTTTCTTGGGAAAGTGGATCCTAGAAGGCTGTTGTTCGGCGCTGCCCTCCACGGACTGGCGGCTGTGTCACTAAAAGAAATCTAGTCAGTTCGAGTATGAAGGGTGCTGTCCTGGTCATTGAAATATTCATCGATACCTTTAGTTAGGAATATCTCCAAGCACGTGGGAGAAAATTGCACTTCGTCATGGGATGGATTCGATTCCTTCTAACGCCGCTGCAGTAGGAGAAAGTAAACAGCAGCTATTTAGAATCATGCAGATCAATCTGCATCATTACACAGCGGCTGCAGCCGATCCCTCACGAAGGCTGAAATTGAAATAGCCCTAGTCCATGAACCTTATATCTACAAAAATCTATAAAAATAAGGGAATTGGGCTATTAAATGAGCTGTACATTACTTACAGATAAGCTAAGAACGTGTACAGTAGCTAAGAAGGACCTTAACTTAATCTTCCTTAATAATTTCAGCGAAGACGGTGAGAGTGGAGATGCACTCTGGAAAGGTTCTAACCTTTATCTCCCTTTATAAGCACCCCGACCCTAAGTAGTAGAGAAACTGTTCACTTAGTTGGGAAGCACAGGTAATTTCATTGTTGGATGTGATGTCAACGCCAACCATTTTCATTGGGACAGTAAGGATACAACTCGCAACAGGTAAGTCTATTATATACCCTCAGCCATCAGCAACAGAGGCCAAAATGTGCCTAGGTCTCTTTGGACCAAATCTATCTCAGGACATTTGGAGTCGATCTAGCGATGTCGGTCCGTCGGTCTGTCTGGCTAATGCACACGATAACACTCGAAGGGAGCATTCGATTTGGTCCAAACTTGGTACATCATAATTTATTATCAAACTTAGATCGAGTTCAGAGATGGGCAATATCGGCGAACGCTTTCTGGTAACTCCCCCACAAAAGGTCAAAGGAAAGAGGAAGGATAGTCCGATTTTGCTCTAACTCTGCTAATCCTAATATTTGCATCACTGCTAGGTCACGTGCGATAATGGTCAATATCGGTCCACTCCATCAAGTACCTCCCACACAAAGGGTCAACATTTTGGATAATTATAACTCTTATAAAATGTGACGTAAGAGTCCGATTGTCTTCAAATTACACATATAACATTATTTTTATTAACCCAAGGTCTTGTGTGAAGATGGAATATATCGTTCTACTCCTTCTGGTATCTCCCCACAAATGGTCAAAATTTTGAATATTCATGAAGCTCATAAGACTTGGCAAATCTCAATAATTTCATAAACACAAGATTTGTACTAGTACCTGCCCCACAAAGTGTCAACGTTTAGAAGAACCAAAACGATCATGTAATCCGAAAGAACCATTCGATTTTCTCAATATTTCACACATCCCATTATTTCTACTAATACAATATGTGCTGTAAAGATTTGATACATCGGTCCACTCCTTCAGGTACATTCCCTCGCAAAGGGTGGAAATTCCATTCAGTCTTCTCAATATTTCTATCAACCCAAGATTTCTTACAAAGATGGTAGAGATCGGGCCATTTCTTTTGGCACCTACCCCACATTGGGTTCAATATTCTGGAAATCCATACTCTCAGAGAAAGCGAAATAAGCATCAAGCTCTCTTCAACTTTCACACATACAAACATTTTTGCTAACACAAGATCTGTTGTGAAGATGATATATATCTGCCAACCCCTTCCGGTACCTTACCCACAAAGGGTCACAAGTTTCAATACTATTATCTGTTATAACTTGCGAAACAAGTCAGCGATTCTTTACAACTTTCTATATCTGAATATTTCTCCCAACCAGAAACCTGAGATGAATGTGGAATTTATGATTTCGCATAAAATTGGATATACATGTTCGATTTTCTTGTAATTTTTCCCATACCAATATTTTTATCTGTATTAGATGAGATATGAAAATGGAATACTTCGGTCGACTATATCTGGTATCTCACGTATATTTTTGCATTTTCTAAAAATTATCACTTATCCCACATAAAGTGAGGGAAGTCCAAACCCGCCACGTAGTAATATTTATATCATATTTGTTTAGGTCCGATCCAAATTGGACAATATTGGCCCATTCCTTTGGAACCTACTCCATAGAGGGTCAACAACAGAAGTCAAAATATATTTAAATAATCTAACATTGGCTGAGGGGAATACATCTGTCGGCAAAACCGACCAATAATTTTTAACTTGATATGTTTAGACCTTCGTTGAATAGGCACGTTTACTTTTTTATGTAATAAATAAATCTAGATTTAAATTAGATAAATATTTAAATTACGATTCAAATGTCCTCCCTCACACAAAGTTGTCAATGTTGAAGACGAGCTACAAATCTTCTTAGGCTAGTTTTGTACTTTATTAGTTAAAAAGACACAAATTAAGTGAGCTTTCTGCTTAAATTTATTGTTTTATTCGTCAAAAAGAACCAAACTATGTGAGCTCTATGCTTAAATGAAGGTGGGATGCGAAAACAAAAGACTTAAGCCACAAACTCGATGATATCTCAAAGACAAACAATTACCACAATTACTCGCATAAATATTATTACTGTTATTACGATTTCTTTACGATTCATTAATTTAAATGAAAAAAAAAAAAAAAATCAGAAGTTTTTAAAGTCTTCGGCTTTGTTTTGTTTTATGTGGACAATTGAACTTGATAGGGCATTTGAAATGCGAGCAAGAACAGCAGCAACAACATGAAAACAATGACTAATGAAAAATATCTAATTATGGTCATAAATGCCATTAATTGTATGTGTGTGTGTGTGTGTTTGTGCGTCTGATATGCGTTGAAAATCCCATTGAGTGTATGTAACCCAAAGAGCTGTAGTGACTTCCGAACTTGTTGCTATTGTTTGTTTTTTCTTTATTCAGTTACACGTTTATCCATCAAATGACTGCCATAGTTTTAGCTTATGACAGTGAGGGGCGGACTATGGTAGCGTTCAAAGACC